GGATAATTGATATATATATATTTGAAATGGTAAATAATAAGAAGAGTAGGCGTGTGCAGTGATGGTAACTAATTTTCGTTTGTCGGTATATACCTTGATGGAAAAATATACTTTTACTGTAAAGGTTTAATACTCATGAGAAAAAGGTGGTAAGAATAGCGTCTGTACTTATGGTTATTGTAGAAAGCATATGTACAAAAGAAAAGCTTCCATTTCATGTTAAGTCGAGTAAGGATAAAGGTGCACTACAAACCAGAACGGAAAGTCAACTTATCGGTGAGGTAGGTTTCTGTTTACAAATAAATGGCTTTTATATATTGTATACGCTTTTTGGGATAATTTACTGTTATTACAATGGTTCAAAAAATATTACACAATATTCTTAACTAATATGAATTTTTATTGTGAAGAGAATTTATTTGGAGTGAGAATAGTATCTGTGATGGCACAATAAGTCAAACCTGTTTTGTAAAGAACTTAAGGATAAGTAGTTTCACCATAGAAAGTCAACCGGTTTTTTTTAAAAAAGGAAGAGAATCAGAGAATCATAAAATTACAAGGTAAAGTATAGGACTTTTCTACCCCAGGGAAAATATGTATGAACAGGTAGTACATATCGCAAGAGAGGTAGACGATTGGCTTATTCCCCGTATGACATGGCTCAATAAATAAATAAATAAATAATATTTAAATTTTGAGCCACAACAATTAAACGATGCTTTTCCCCAATTTGATTCTTTGTGTAGTTATAATTTTGAACGATTGCAAAAGAGTAATAAAAATAAATAAGTTATACAGCCATGGTAATGTATTTTAAGAGGTTACAACCATTTACTTCATGGAGGCCAAAGTGAGGTTCGATAACTCCCAAATATTTTTCTCATTCGCGTTCATTGTCAACTAAAATACCTTGGCCTCATCCCGCACATCAAAGGTATCAACCATTTTCTATTCTCATTATTGTTATTCTATACTGCAGCTGTACCCTTCATCACGCGTTTCTTCGCTCTGCACAAGAGTCGATGTATTTTGTTCGATGTTAAAAAATTATCTGTTTCTATAGGTGTTTCTATGTGTTCTCTAATCCTTTTTTAGGAATCAGAGATCTATTGCACTGAATTTAAAAAGAAAGAAAGAAAGAAAGAATGACAAAGAAATTGGATTGTCTAAAATTGCACCCAACTCAAATTAATTCTTGGTACAGTTGGCGTTTGTGTGCGTGGATAAACAATATAAAAGAAAGGAATAACTAATTGCCTTTCAATATTAGCAAAATCGTTGCTATTATGGTGGACGATGAGGACTGTAGTGGTATATGAGTTTTGGTTAGGTGCAACTGTACTAATATTATTTTGTTTTTTTCGGCAGTTGCTTTGTGTTGGCAGTTTAATTATTTTCATGAAAAGTGATAAAATGGTAAGAAATATAAAAATCTATAAGTCCAGTGTTATTTGATTATGTACTGGATCCGATTGTTTTGCGTGAGTGCGGGTGTGTGCGCAGAATGGTATCCTTTGATGTACCATATTCATTTATTTACGACCAAAACCGATAATTTCTTATGTATACCCATCCGCCAACTAGTCGAAAAGTTTAGTAGCAGTACTCCTAATGATTTGCACCAGTGCTTATTTCCATGTCATGTAAGACACATTAGTATAAAAATACGCCTTTCTTTTTCTTTTTCTTTTTCTTCAACAGCCACTTGAATGTAAAGTATATCGACCAACTCGGGTGCATCGAAAACTGTAAAATAAATATGAAACTTTTCTTGCTAATTGCCTTGTAAATATTTTCGCAATTACATTTACCGTTCTCTACAAGAGCCTATTTGAAAACAAAGATAATATTTCTTGCTTTAATTAGAACTGTGGAGGCTCAATTAGCATGAAAACAATATTCGACTGTATAAGTATAATTTCTTGAAGACGTCGAGTATATCTGACTCTGGGTATCATATACAAGTACTCTGTTTTTTTCTTCTTTAAAATTAAATACAATAGAAGCTGTTAATAAAATAAGTTAATATAAAGAGTACATAATGATAGAAAAAAACAAATAAGTATTTCTATACTGTCAAATATATACACGGTTATGTCGAGTACTATCGTGGTTACTATTTGATTTTTTGAATTCAAGAAATTAGAGTTACAAAGTACTTGTGGCGTCCATTATAATATCTTGGGTTGGTAATATAAAACGAAACACACTGGTATCGAGAGCTATATCATTACGAGAGAGTAAAATGCGTACTTAGTGATGTACTTTGGCATACTTTCCCTGCCTACTTTAAACTCGTGTTTTAATTATGATTATCGTGTATTTCCGTACTGTGGTAATTAATATTATATATATACATATATATATATACCAACGCCTTTTTTTGTTAAATATCGAAATTGAAAGGGTTGCTCTAACAAAAAGATCAGATGATTGACTGTCGAGACTTGACCGAAACTTACAAACAATTAGTGTGCTGGATGTACAATTAATAATGATATTTATAATATTATAATCAATCTTACTCACGGGTATTTTAATCAAGATTATTACACCCGAAAGTATTTTACTCAAAAATATTAAAGGCACCCAACAAGTGTTGTACTTTTATATTGAACATTATTTGAATAGTAGTTGAAGCATTGCTGCCACGAATCGTCAAGCATCGATAGCTAGTAAAACCCTTATTGTCATTATATTAAAACGGATATATAGAATTCAATTTGTAATTCTTACTAATAGAGACCATAATCTTAGTAGAGTTAATTACATTGATAATAGACTGATATATCTCAATAACCAAGACCAAAAAAAATCGTATAAAACATATTTTTTTTATTTTTATTATTGTAGATAAAGGTACTTCTTCTATTAGATTTCCTGAAACCGCCACACATAGTATACTTTTTTTTGCGAGAAGACAAACCTTTTCAATTCAAAGAAGAGTATGATACTGAGACACTACTATCGCCATTTGACAATAACTATCCGGATTAAAGCGAGGAGTCCAACGATGAGAATGAAGCTGACATTGTTGGTGTCATAGTATTTAAAGATACGATGGATTCAGGTATGCACCTATTGAACAAAGAAATATACATAAATCATATTACAGATAATAATGATACTTATCATAACACTTGCCTTTTTGTAATCCTATGTTTGAAAATGGATGACATTCATCAAGTCACTCAACTAATAGCTCTATTTGGTGTTATATTTCAAGCGTTTTGCTTGGCTCAAGCAAGGAGGATCTACAACACTGAAATTATTCCAATACTTTCTTGTTACCTATGAGAAGGATACTGATCCATATGTCACCGTTGATGTATCGAAAATCATGTCTGGATTCGATCTTATGACAAAAACCGTCTTCAAGTACACCATCTGTGTCAAACGTGATGTCATATACTTACCAGAGTATCATCAATCCAACTGTTCCTCCGAGAAGCACATTCCACCCCATCTATCTATGACAGTAATTCTCTGTATGCCGGTCCAGCAATTGAGAAGCCAGTCCCTCTCATGGTATTTCCTTACAGCTTACTGAGAAAATATCTCGTCACAACATTTCCACAAAGTCAAGTCAGATGAGTAAATCGTGCACTAGGGGTCAAGCAAAACAATAGAAAGTACGATGACGGACGTATACGATGATGCAATTTAGACTGATATGCTCGGTGAAGCTGACGGGACCTTTGTAAATCATGCCAATTCTCTCATGTTGACATTGAATGTATATTGGTTTAAGCTGTTTGAAGGACGGATTTATACAGGCGGTGCTTTGTACTTACTTATCAGCAATTTCCCCAAGGAAGACCAAATGAGACCAGAAAATATTATCCTCGTTGATGTCATGCCTGGTCCAAAGGAAGTAGAGGACGACTAGATGGACGTATTTCTGGAAACATTTGTTGATGGGATGGTAGACTGTTATGGTGGTATAGCTGTGAGGACTACCAAGTTCCCTAATGGTACTACTGTCTATACTGCTATCATGTATGTCGCTTCCGAGATATCTGCTGCTAGAAATACTGCCGGATTCACAGAACATGGCATGTAAACACATATGGCTGTCATAAATTCAAATGATATATCCCCGTGATTACTGCATCAAGTAAGATCAATTACGTTTGGCGTGTCAATGAAAACTGGGAATCACGGACAGAAGAGATGATTTCCATATATGACAATATGTGGTTTTGCACAGAATCAGATGTAGAAAGAGAAAATTTGGAGAAGCAGAACGGCATGCAGTTTTCAGAGTTGCATCGCTTACATGATTGTTGATCTCACGCACAATATATTTCTTGTGATAGCGAACCGTATGGCCAGTGTTTGAAATGCCTTTGTATTTTTCCGCTGCTGTTATTGCTCGTATACAACGCTTTGCTGATGATATTCCTCTTCCTCCTGAATATACCGTCTTATTCGAAAAAGTCACGCCTTAGTTCCTATATATGAAGGCAGGTGAGTGGCGATCGTTGTGTCTGGTGCATTTTCTGGTGGTGTTGAAGGAGTTTTTGCCCAAAAGTGATTACAATAACTAGACCAATCTTGCCAAGACATGCCGAAAGTTGAAAGGTCCATTGAACAAGTACTTACATATAGACTACGCAGGCCAGCCCCTTGGTAAATTTGGGGAATAATGTCAGAGTATTTACGAAAAAAAGGAGTAGCACACCAAATATGCATTTGTGTGAGTTGATGCTTGACTTTGGTCTGGTCTTTACATTTTGGATGTATAACCTTAAGATACACAAGTATAAGTTAAAAAAAACATTAAGACAAACTACCGTAATGGTCTAGAGGTGACAGTAATGAGCGTTTTTCCGGAGAATGCGTTCACTGACACTTTTCTTTCTGTGTATTCCATTAATCTTCTGCTGCGTATAATAATATTTTCCTAAGGCGTCACGCAAGTGCTATCTGAATCTCATCTACCGTGTCTTCAGTGTATTGATAATGATTATCCTCCTGCATTGCCATTCGACCTCCCGATGTTCCAGCAAGTCGTCAACATCCTATGGTACAATGTAATCGGAACTAAGACGTCGCCACCAACTACCATGCCATTGAAGTTACAACATTTGAATATGATGAAGTATGATTACTCTTAATGGCTATTCAAATTCTATGTCAAGGCTTACCAGAATACTTTTTTTTTCTGCGGCGTGGGGAGTATTTCACTTGGTGAGAATGTGCTGGTAAACATTTGCATTCAGAAGATGAAGAATATTTCGTTGCTTGGACAGGAGTTCTTTAGTGAACAGAAGAAATATCGCAGCTCAATTGTGCGGGTTATGTTTTTTTGGTAGGATAGTTGACGACATCTCTAAATTCCCTGGTCAGATTGAGTACATATTTACTTGTCATCAAGATTGGTAGAATCAAAAGTGTCAACGTTTGGTTTTTTAAAAAGATTTGCGACATGCCATTCTGTCAGAATTAAGCCGTTAGTTGGGTAAGGTCTGAATTTGTGGGTGAGTGGGTTTATTAAGAAGAGTATTGCGTGCATCATCCCGGTGCATCGTCTGCATTCGTATTTCGCGTTGACTACGCACAACATCCAGGGTGGGATCCAAAAGAGCCTAGTCATCCCACTGCCTAGAAAAGTAGTACGAAAAAAATAAAAAAAATAGAATGATTTATATCACTAATATAAATAATTATAGTAAGAGTTTTTTTGACTGCGAAAGGATTTGCCTTTATTTATCTCTCTATTTTTCTTTTGTTTTAGCATTACTTCTTTATCAAATATTTAAAATTATAGTGAATTCTATTATCAACGAATAGTAAAAACCGTTATTTATTTTTATTGTTTTTATCAAAAGTATGAAAGATAAAATACCGGTATATTTAATACTCAATGCCCACCATTTTCTTAGCTTTTATCAAAATAAACTTACAGAGAGCGATATTACAATTTCCAACGAAAAAAACGGTGGATAAAACAATCAAGGTTATATAATTAAATAATTGTTTTGTATATATATATTCCATTAATCGGCTGTAAAATAAAGTAAAATAAAATAAAATAACTATTTATTTATTACTTCCCATCTCGACATTACTACCGCATCATCTTTTATCGATTCAACCCACATATTTCAAAACAATGAATAAAAATCAATAAAATACTATATACTCTGTATTTTTTTATTACTGCCGTGTGCTATTCCATGCAACAACACGCACCTTTCTCTCCTTTAAAAGTTCGACGTTTCTTGGAATAGCTGGACACTTGGAAAAGCTAATGACCTTTATTCTTTTTGATCATTTCTCCGTCCTTTTAACTTGCTAAAGTATTCTTTGATCTGTGTTATAATATCAACAATTAGGAATTCTAAATAAAAAAATGACACTCCTTTGTAAAAAGAAAAAAAAAATGTTAAAATTATTTAAACAAAAACCGTGGATTATACTTACTCTTATCTTTCTTGTTCGACAACGAGAAAACCGATTACGCCCAGCTAACTTTTCCGACAAGGATTTTGCCCTGTGAATTTTATACGAAAGGTGTCTACGAGCTTTCTCTTCTACGGCTGAAGACAAAACATACTCTACTTCAAGCTGCATATGTATGTAGCTCTGCACCATGCTAGCAATTGGGCGGTTAGATATCGAAAAAGTACCCTCATCAATATTCAATGGCGTAGCTGTCATAACTGCCTGTGTTTGAGAACGGATCACACTGAAAAAAAAGGGTAGAAATTACAATGCGCACAGTTGTTTGATAACAATTGAAAATGTGGGATAGTTTTCCATGTTCACAAGTTGAAAACACAGTTTTACTGTATTCTATTGGCTCGGATATAACAAGCAACAAAAGTTATTCTATTTATTATTATAAAGACTTTGTGAATAAAGTACATGTAGCACCTGTTTCCTTTTTCTCAAAATTTACAACAAAAAACACAATGTTCTCAACCCCTCAACCTTACAATAAAAAGTGCTATTGCGCTGGATGTAGTCAGAACGAACTAGTCTATAGTTTTGTAGCCGGAAGAACTGCTCAGCGCCATAACAAAAGAGCAAGATTAGATGCTATAAGATGTGAAAGTGGTACGCAGTTTGTAGTATTATTCTATTATATTCTATTTTTTTTGTAGTTCAAAAAATAACATGTTTTAACAGAATCTTCTGGCCAAAGAAATTCGATGGAGGTTGATGTTGAACGTAGGAAATATTTATTTAAATAAAAATAATAGAGCGTAACTATGTAACATATTCTAAATACAGCCATTTAAACCTGTCAATCCAGAACCACGGAAGAAGAGTGTGGTCAGACCAACTTACCTGCTTGGGAAGGAACCCCAGTGTCTGATGATGCGAATGTTCCAGTTACGAATGAGGAGATTCACAACAGCAAAGACAATGGCGATGAAAACAAAGAAAACGATAATGAAGATGTTGTTAAGGTGGAGGTCGAGGAATTTGTTAATGAAGGTTGGTGTTGTGCTATGGAAGAAAGAAAAATTTGAAAAAAAGGGAGATGATTTTTTTTTTTGGTTTTTTACAATAGATCCTTTTGCCCCCCCCCGATATGCCTGAGAACCCAGTGCACAGGATCATTACTACTTTTGTGGTAATGTTAGATACCCGCTATGTGGCCAACAAAGGCGCTGTCATCCTGATAAAGTTCATCAATAAGCTCTAGACAACTTACGAGAAGAATTTACAATTGCCATCGAACATTTCTGGCCTCAAACACAAAACGGATTTTTCATCCATGAACAAAAGCGTTCATAAATATGTTTTGTGCCAGGATTGCCACAAGGTGTATGAGGAAAGTGTATTATGTTGGAATACAAACTCTTATTGACGAGCATCCAAGGGGGTCCAGGATTCGTGCAGTATCTCATTGCCCATTTTCAGTACCACCCAGAACAATACTGATACCTGGTATCGGCTGTAAAAAAAAATTAGTAAATACAATTTTCAGTGAGAAAATTTTAAAAACTCCTCCACTATGTTAATTGTGTTTTATAAAGATATATTTAAATAAGTTTTCATACCAGCGAATCCCACGGGTACCCAAAAAGAAAGAAATAGTACTTTATCATAATAAAGCTATTCGTCACCGCAGACGGCAAAGGTTTCAAGAGATGTTATGTAGTGGGAAGAAATAGATACCTAATGTGCTATTGTACCATATGGATCAAAAAGAGTAAAGCACGAAGTCTCGAGAGTCATAAGAATTAAACTATAGTTTTTCCCGTTTCTTTCATATATGTGTGTGTTTAGTAGAGAGACTTGAGGAATATTAAAAATTAACACTGAAAATGGAGCTACCGTCGCATCATATTGTAGATGAAAACCATTAGCTCCTTTTACCAAAATAACATTATAGAAACAAGAGTTATATTTGAAGCTATTGAATGACCAAGAATACTTTAACGTATTTTGTACCATCTTTTTCTTTTTCTTCTTTCTGTCTACTGCGAAATAACCATATATTTTTATTCGCGTATGTTTTATTGTTAATGAGAGCATAGTTGAAAAGACAGAATTGGGTATATGAATATATCGAGGATAAAACAGTTTCATTTATTCATATATTTTTTTTTAAAAAAATGATAATAATACAACTAATAAACCATTATATTTCATATCCTTAGTGACCACAACCTCTGTATCTTTTTTTTAAAAAAATAATGGATGGTCAGGCCGACTCACCTTTTCTGAATTGATTCTTCAATTTATGACATTTTCTCAATTATTAACGAGGTCAATGTTGATAACTGTGACAACAATGACAGTGATAAACACAATTTTGTTAAAATCGATCTTAGGGCATTCAACAGCGAAGTCCAGTGCTGGATACATAAATGAGAAATAAAATAAAAAAATTGATTAATTTGTTGCTCTTGATATTTCTGTAGAAAGTCCAATCTATCAGTACATTAGGGGGTTTCATTATTATCTGTTTTAGATTTTATTTTATCTTTCTGGGATTGAAAAACACTAATTATTGGCTGGTAAAAATCTCTCAAAAAATAAAATCTCAAAACTTGGCTTGATAATTTTAAGATTTTTTTTTTTTGATTTAGCATTTTTATTCAAATATTACAAATAACAAAAAGCATTATTTTACTCATATTTTCTGTCTATTTTGATAGAAGTAGTACATTATATTATTTAATATGTCTTAAATATGCTTATTCAAAGACTTTTCATAAATTTTAGCCCATCAGTAGCTTTATGTAAACAGTAAATATATCTAGAATAATAAACAAAAAAAGTGATTTTTTAAGACTTTATACATTAAATTAGCTAACATGAGGGGGGTTCAGTAATATCTTTTTTTTATTCATTATTATTGGTTAAAACTTAAAGCTCAGAAAAATAAAATAAAATCTAAAACAGATAATGAAACCCCCTATTATGTCCTTCTCTTTTTAATTAATTGCATATGCCTGTCGTCTCTTGAAAATCTTTGGTCAAGACTTCTAATGTGAAGCAAGTCTGTTCGGATCCCAAACAACTGAAAGGGTTTCTGCCATTTCATAGGGCATAAAATGATTTGTGATATACCATGGCGGCCATTTAGTAAGATATTCTATCAAAAAACTGTATCCGTTTCTTCTCGAGATATTTCATCAAAGACTAGCGCGCAATTTTCTTGAAACTATAAGCTGTCGAAGGTGTCATCATTTGGTACACTATGTCTACCTGGCAACCAACAACTTGCCCTGCAACAGTATGTTCAAGCCGAAGAATATTATTCTTGTTGATATGACGTCTGGGAGAAAGGTACCGGAATTCAAATCCTTTAGTTGATGGTTTGGAGTAGATATACATAGGAATCCAAGTGGGATAATCACTTTATTGTTCGTCTGAAAGATATGAGCTGCGTCGTTTTTCGTGGATTCTGTTATTCTCAGTCGCATATATAAGGAGATGATAAAAACATGTTGTATGCTAAGGAGAGGGAAAGTGACAATGCCCCCTCTCAGAAAGAAATTAGCTAAAGGTCGAAAATGCTGTTTGGTGGTCGCAGTTTCGACGGTTTGCATACTTTGATCTAGTACACGGAACAATCATCGATCTCACATATAATTTCTTCCCGGAAACGCCAAAGAGAGCAAAGAGAATCGTTGAACCATGGATGAAAAGGGAAGCCATTGTCAACAACAAACTTGACGAAGTGCAGGCCATGGTCGAGGCGACGGCGGTGGCCTGTTCATATACTGCATTAACAAGCAAAGTCGAAAAGGGAGTTTTTTGTATATGACAGCCGATGAATAGGAAGCCGTGAATACCGGAGTATTATTCGGTTTGGCTGAAAACAATTCTATCTCCTGGCAAGTTCAATAACTGAGTCGACTTTGTGTGTGTGTAAGTCTAAATCTTGTAAAGCTTGCCATATAATACGCATATAAATCTGAAAAAATCTGTCCGCGGTGCGCGCATCTTTACAATCGTAATATCGTCACTTGTACAATTTACATGTACCTCAATTTTCGTGAGACAGTCCACGAGTTCGGACCAGTGTATAGTTCTTGGTTCTTTGGGTTGAGCGACAAAACGGATCATCAAAGAATTTGAAGACAAACAGAAAGGATGAATTTGAAGAGACACGCACACGCAGTTTTGTTCAAGATGCTTACAAGAGTAATTTTGTTAACGCTGTTTTCCGGACCTCAAACCAGTACATTATCTTTTCCTTATAAAAAACACATTGTCACCTCCAAAACATGCTCCTTTTACCATTGTGACCACTTTCATCGTCAATGCCACCACCATGTCGACATTCACGTCGGCCCTCTCCTTCCAGCGTCTACTCGGATTTCAAGAATTCGTGCAAGAATTTTTTAACCTGAATATTTCAGTCAAAACTAAAGGTATTCTTCCTTCTTTTGCTTTTGCTCTTTATCCAAGAAAAAAATCTACAATCATGGCGGATACCGATTACCCTCGCATGAACTTGAATAATAGGAAGTAGCATATAAGTCGACGGACCACACCAGTTACCAACATGTCTACTTTGCATACTTATTTTCTTACATGCCCATCGTAAATCTGAATTTTATAAATCCGTTTAGTCGGCAATATCGTGGTAAACCCAATTCTATCAGTCATGAAGTGAATATCCTCCCTTGGTCATATTTGTTGTCAGGAATTGAGGCACCGAGATTGTATATACTAGGAAAACTCAATATATACTCACAAGATTCATCGGACTCGCATGGCTCAACGTAATTAGCGCTTATTTTAATTTATTAAGTGGTTTTGTACTGCCTTTGGTAGATCGCGTGAGAATAATAAGACCAAGTTTTTTTGTAGATAGATTTAGCAACATTGTATCTGTGCATCGCATATTAGATGTTGCTACAACGGAATATACAACTAGGAAAAATGTTAAAAATATGCAGGTAATTCCTTTGGCAAAGAAGTATTATGCTTAAAATGATTCTCACCTATTGACTTTCGTCTTTTTCTTTATAGAAAAATATAAAGCTGTCCCTTATATATATAATTGATAACGTTGTGTACGTGGGAAGTAATATTAGATTTTTTTTTAAAGAAAAATAAAAAAGCAAAGCTTTTATTTAAAACCCATGTCTAAGAGCCCACTGACGAAATTTAGAATTTATGTCACCCGGGACTGTTGCATTGGACACACTGCTAATGACTCTAGAGATAATTTGACGAGCGTTTACTCCTATACCCCTGACAACATACGAGTCAGCTTTTTTACTCAATCGGTTGTACTGAAACACTTGCGTTAATATTTTACTATATAGATTTTTAGAACAGTACACAATTATTATTCCAAAACAATACCGCGTCACTTCTCCAACTTTGCTGGGCAATTCAGATGACACCTCTTGTGCCATGTTCGGAAGCTTTATTCGCAAATTTTCCATCAGAAATTACTAGCTTTTGCATCGTATTGGCACAATCCATGTTCATTTCCTAATTGATCGCATCTTTGTTGCTCAGGTATACAAGTAGACGCCGAAAATGCTTCTAACAGTAATCTATATATTTATATATATTATTTTTCAAGACTAAACTATAATATATACATTGTATTTCATTTTGCATGACAATTACTTCAATTGTCCGAATTGCTCTTCTTGAACGTGTTTTCATTATTACTCTCTCAGACCTAGACACTCTTGCTCGGCAGCACCAACGGCACCGGCTGGTAAAGTTGTGTAGTATCTGCCTCAAGTCGAACATCTTAAACCTCTCATGATCAAACTTAGAGTTTAAAATATCAAGCAATTACCAAACCAATTCTTTGTTTGGCGACTTATTATAGGCAACAATTGTATACCATCTGGAGCTATTATCATTTGATAAGATTTAGGCTGGTTTTCACGATTTGAACTTTGGTTTCGACATGAGGTCGCGCGGATATGTGCTTGGTATATGTATACGTATATGCATATACATATAAATGTAAGAAAATAAACCGAATAAAATATCCCACAATTTGGTTACTCACATAAACATCGTCGAATGCTTTATTGTCAGGCTCATATGGGGTCCAGACAATATGTTGAGCAACAAGAAGAGCTGTAGCCAAATCCTCGGTCGCTTGGATGGTGTCAGTGCTTTTGGGTGCAAGAAAACCGATTTTTCCATTCATGGTCAAGGGCATAACCATTGACAATATCACTCTGCACTTGTACGGGTGACATGTTGGCTGTCATGCTTTCTTTCAATAACTGACGGTTGCTCACCTCATTGTTGAGACGAGGGGGCAAGTTGACATCTTTGATTAACCATTGTCTACAAAATATAATGAAAGGTAAGACAATTTAATTGTTATTATTGTAACTGTTTTGCAATTGCATCGGATTGAAAGTAAATTATATCAAACTTGCATACATGAAGTATTTGGAATAAAAGTGCGAGTGCGAATAGGAGTGCAAGATAAGGGTGAATGTATTGTATCAAAGGATAAGCTTTATGTAAATTGTTCAGAGTGATTTCGATATAAATATATTTATTAAACGTTTTGGAATCATTTCAATCATTTGTTTCAAAAACACACAGACAGACAAATTATATATTCATTGTATTGTATTGTATTGTATTGTATTGTATTGTATTTTTTTTTTCGCATTTATTTAGACGTAGATATATTAAATCGTTGGATTTCTTTGTTTCCAGTAGACGAAAACCAAAAATAAATAAATGAATAAAATGTTAGTACTGATAATGATAATAATGGTTGGACTCGGGTGCTATAGTAACCAATTCAATTCAATCTGATTCATTGATCAAGAAATTTTGGTTGTAATATTAAAATAAAATAAATATATTGAACAATCTCGATCACAATAATGTGCTTGTGGTTTCCAACTTGTTGCGAATCAGATTATGTAAAACGATGAGGGTTGATTGAATGGAATGCCAAAAGACAAAAAGAAAATAAGAGAAAGAAAAAGGACTGTTATTGCTTAATTATGATGATATCATCGTATTTGAATTTCTTTAGAGCATCTTCAGCAGTCGGCTAACTTTTATTTTATCTGGGATCAAAAATTGTCACTTTTACATAAAAAAAAGCCACCCCGCCCAGCAGTTAATTTTTTCTCTAACTTTTAAATAAATTTTGAGAGTGCTTTCAGCTAGAACTTTTAAATCCCTGTCAAATATACCAGCTAGATAAAATTTAGGACCATAAATTTTTCATAAAATAAAATAAAAGGAACTGCTGGGAAATTAACTTTTAGATAAAAGTCCAAATGCGGTATAAAAGTCGGGATAAAAGTTACTGCTGAAGATGCTCTTAGTGAATAGTTTATTTATTTATTTTTGGCTTTATATACATAAAGATATTTAGATATGTAGATATAGAAAGAGAAAGAGAAAAAGGGGAAGTGATTCCGTCAAAGAAAATAAGCATGGCCTGTTCAGATAAGGTTGTGTGGCATAAATTTAAAGATACAATCAAAGAAAGAAAGTCAATTGAACTTCACAATTTGATTGGCTAAATACAAGAAATTTAAGACGCAATATGCAAAGCACGAAAAAAAAACAAGAGAAAGGTTTCAATCCATGTGATATATATTTCTATATATATATATATTATAAAAAATATATATTATAAAGACTGATTAATTTTCGTTTGTGCGTGTTTCGTGTCTTTTATTATTATGTTTCGATACATTGCACATTGGGTCTGTAACATAAGAAAATAAAGGATTAAATGATTAAATTTAGATATAAAAAATATCAAAGAAAAAATAAAAGACTCTATGTACACTATGTATGTTGTATGTTTGATGTGACTGTCGCACTGAAAATTTTTGAGTAGGTGGATCCAGAAATTTTTAGAATTGATTGGCCTTTTGATTTGTTTCCCGACAAGTAGCAAATGACCTAGAGGGTACTCAATTCAAGGACCTCTGCGGTTACAGAATGCCAAATGAACAGTGTAACAAGCTTTATAAAATAATAATAATAATAATTTTTTTAAAAAAAAATCTACTCGGTCTTTTTACATTCTTTATGATCCTTTCTCTTCTTTTACAACTTACAGCTTACGACTTTCAATAAGAATAAGATTAGGACAAGAACAAGAATAAGAACAACTACTATTCGAATTACTATTGTTGCTACAATTGTTACTGTTACTACTCTTTCTTCTTCTTCATTTTTTTTCCTTACTTCATTCTACGTCTTCTACGCCTTCCACCTTCTTTTACACCTCTTTATTTTTTTATTTTTTAAAATAAAGAAAATATGGCAAGATACCATTACTTTTGTCATATATTGGCCCTTGTTTTATTTGCAGCATTTGTACAAGCTCAAGGTAATAAAACCTACAACAATTACCATTATTTCAGACAATATCCGTCTTCTTCTTGTTTTATCTATACACACATACAAAAAAAATTAAAACATTTAAAATATTAACATTAAAAGACAACAATCAAATCAAATCAAATATACTAAATAACCAATTGTCTGTGTGTGTGTGTATTTATCTGCATCCTTTTGACATTTACAGAAACTTCAAGTGAAGCACCCGATAGCGAAATCGATGAAGACGACGAATGTGCAGCTTCAATTATTGGAGACTACAATATGTCATTGCGTATTGGCTCTCTCTTTATCATCATGGGCACTAGTGCAATAGGTAATATATTTACTTGCTTTTATTTATTCAAAAAAAAGGATGAATCTCTTACACAATTGCTTGCTTGTTATTGTTTCGTCGTCTTCAAATTAGGCGTATTTACACCAGTGATCATTCATCGCATCAGACCTTACGACCATGGAAGTATTCGTGATTGGATTCTTACCATTGGAAAATTTTGTAAGTCTCATTCAAATATAGATAATATTCATATTTTTTTTTGCAAAATACTACATACAATTGCTCTACCTATTTTCTCTATTTTTTAATAATGACAAAGAATATATATATCAATTTGACTCATAAATTATGCATGTATCTATCTAGTCGGAACAGGAGTGATCTTGGCTACTGCATTTATTCACATGTTACCGGAGGCCCTGAGCAATTTTGACAGCCCATGTTTGAGCGAAGGGTGGAAATCATACGGCGCATTTGCCGGTGTATTTTGTATGATTTCTTCTTTCGCACTCCAGTTACTCGAACTCGCCGCCGTTTCGAACCTCGATCGGATTTATGCAAAAAGACAGGCCCAACGCGATACCCTAGATATCGAAAAGACCGAAGTTTGTAGCACAGCCATCCTCGGCTCTGATTCTTCACAACAGTCGACTACCAAAGACATTGACGAAAGATTAACCAAAAAAGGTGGATTTGGTTATGGCATTGGTGGTGGTGCTGCCAGTAGTGGGAATAGAAGTAATGATATTGGCAACGGTGGGCATGGACACAGCCATGAAATCGGTCATGTACACAGCGCAGGACTATTGGAGGACGACGACCAATCGTTTCGTAACATCGGCACCCTTATGCTTGAACTTGGTATTGTGATGCACTCCATAATCATCGGAATAACACTGGCCAATACCGGCAATGATGAATTCATCACTCTATTGATCGCACTCGTCTTTCATCAGGTATTTTTTTTTCATTTACATGCTATTTGTTTTGTTTAGTTTATTTTAAAAGAAAATAAATATTAATCCATCTATTCAATCATTCAGTTCTTTGAAGGTGTCGCTCTTGGAACGCGTATCAACGACATGAACCATTCCAACTGGATCAAACCTGTTTTGATGGGTGGTCTTTTTATGATCATGACCCCTATTGGCGTGGCAATCGGTATCGGAATCCATTCTTCTTTCAACGCCAACTCTTCGTCTTCAGTTCTTGCCAGTGCCATCCTCGATTCTCTTTCGGCTGGAATTCTGTTGTACAATGCTTATGTGTCGCTCATGAGCCTAGAAATCAACCACAATGTCGAATTCCGTAGAGCTCCTTTTGTGCGCAAGGCCGTCTGTTTCCTGTCGATGTACGTTGGCGCTGCAATCATGGCGCTCATTGGCAAATGGGCATAGACAACTCCATCAGCGAAAAGAAAGAATGAACAGAAAACACCAGCAACAAAACACACAAACCATTCCATATATTCACCTACTCTTCTTCATCTTTTCTTACATGCACATTACCCCTTTCCTCCCCACAGCCTGTCATATATGTATATGGCTATCTTTGGGCTTGTTTATCATACATACATACATACATACATACATAGTCACATCAATTCATCTACCCACTCATACACCCATTCAGTTATTTAGTTCTATTTCTATTTCTGTTCTTACCTTGCCTTGTAATTTTCATCATGGTTATACTCTTTGTATACTAGAGTTTATTGTATTAACTGTACCATAGTATCATATCTTTTTCTTTCTTTCCTTCAGCCATTCATATCAATTCATTCATATTTACATCATGTATTCTGTCCATTATTTCCTAAGAAGAAGTAGAATAATAAAAACACTTGCTCACCATATATAAAATAAAATAAAGTCTTTGATTATTCGATTTAATATAATTTGTTTTTGACAGTTTGTTACATGTTACTAATACTCAAATAGAAATAATTCATATAAACATTTATTTTTCAGATAATTGCTAAATGGTAAGTCGTCATTACTATTCTGTTTGGTTGGTTGTTTGTTCTTTAAAGCCAAGAAACGTGAATGATAATAGCGAGAGTAACAGTAATAATATTTTTATGTAGCACAATAGAACAAATATTATATCTCTTTCTTTGTTTCTTTATGCTCTCTTCTTGTTAACGGCCACAAGCTTGGGGTCTGATGTACCTGCAGCGATCTTCTCATCTTCATTGACTGCGACCAATTTTGAGTCCATCTTGCCTGGTGTAGCGTCATCGACAGCCTTGTCTACGTGTCTCAAGGCAGCATCAGGAGTCTTGTTTCGTGAAAGACAAATAGATGAAGACGAAGAATATTTAGATTGATGAATACACATAATTATTAGTATGTTTCTTATTACTAGCTCTTAATAATACCGTCCACACATACACATACATATATATATATATATAGTCCCTCTCTTTATCTATTTACAATTTACACACAGCCAAAGACTTACAATCTCTTCTAGACGGTTAACCTTTTCTTCCAATCTCATATTTTCAAGAGTCATGGTATAAACACGGTTGAGGATACTATTTATTAAATAAATGTATTAGAATTGAAATCAATTGGATTGTATTGAATATTAATTCTTATTTATTAAATCTAAATTAAATCAAACTTACATAAGCAATAGTAAACTGAAGCCTGTAAGATACCTGTAAAGAAAAGAAGAGAATGTTAAGTTATCGAGTGGCTCGGTTGGTTGGTTTGGAGGATAATATAATACCAAACATGTTGAAAGACCTATATTTGAATTTGTTGCTTACATATTTCTTTGTGCATAAAATTTCTTGGCTGCGATACTGGCTTCGGCACGAATGTCATGGACAGCAATAGGAGAACCTCCTTCTTCTTCATTTGTTACTGTATCACTGATTGTCTTTAACCGGTTAACAGAATCTATGACAAGTACGCATTGAATTAATAAATGGTAAGCATATGTGATATGTATGTTATTTATAGCAATACTGGTAACGGTAATAATAGCTTTATAGTCTTGTAACATAAGCATGATGTCAAGACTACTACAGCAATTCCTATTGGGCTTACCCAAGAAGAGAACAAAAATGAATCTAATGAAGTATGTCTGAGTTAGATATTCACGTATTTTTCAATTTTAATTTTTTTTTACTTACCCAAAGATAATTCTCATAATGTAGTGTGCATGGGCAACCTGTTATAAATATCGAATTGAAACAGCAAAAAAAAAGTCGTTTAGTTTCCCTTCTTCATCATTATAATTGCCAGGTATTCTTTTAATAAGAATATGTTGATTGTATGTATATTCTATTTCTTTACCGTCGGTGATGTGGCCAGCCAGTGAAATACACTCTTTTGCCACTGCAGAGGTAGTGGAAGCTATTGAATTAAAATATAATAAGAGTTTAATGATTAGTATGGCTAGACCATCATGCTATCCTTATTTTATGTGACATTATTATCGAAACTCACCATGAGAAGGAAGAAGATAAAGACCTAAAAAATCCAAAGAAAACATTAGTTGTATATCTAGCTTTGTATGATCGTCTTTCGAATCTTACCTCGATGGCGAGGATAGCAAATACAATAGCATAGTAGAGTGTCATGGTGTAAGAATATTAAATTGAATTGAATTGAATTAAAATTAAAGAATAATAATAATAAGAAGAAAAAATATGAAATCAAAAAAAAAATATTGTTGCATGAAATACATATATTTATATATATTTATATATTGGTGCTTATACGCATCATACGGGACAAAATTACCCAGAAATAGAAAGAAACAAAAAAAAAGCATATATAATTACATATGTAGTCGATAATAGGGAAATTATTTATATAGAAGGTATTTTTGGTCCCATCTTCTTCTTCTTCTTCAGCATCATCATCATCTAAAAAAAAAGCTAATAAATAAAATTAAACATATTGATCTTTCTTAGCCGTTTAATTGGTAGTATACCTATCTGTTTACCTTGCATTACTACTAGTATTTCAAACAATTCTGCTCACTGAATTTATATAGCTATATTTACAAGATAGTACTACTTTTTTTTTCTTTCTCTTTTTCTTTTGACATGATGTCAGTATGACAGTGACTTTTCGTTAGCATTATACGGTGAACGTGTTGCTTAGCCACTCTGTTACACACTAGTTGAGGATCAATTTAGGACCAACAAGGTGCTCAATGGGAAGTGTCTCTATATGTGTTTTTTATTAGGAACAAGTCTTACCTATGTTTTTTTTTCTTCAGAATAAGTATAGGATATAATCTTTAATCTTTACTTCATGTCATTTTCCATCGTCATTCTCAAAATCCTATTATTATTTTTTAATTGGGGGTATTCAGCCAGATTGATCAATCAAATTTTAAATTCAGAAAGCAATATTATTGGTCTACAACTGTAATAGCGACGATCAAAGTTTGTACATCTTTTTGATCGAAAAATGTACGGCTCTCTGATTAGCTGAATCCCTACTTTTTTATATGCAATACGATATTTGGTGTGGACAGACTAAAAGTTCAAAAAAAGAGCAAAAATTGAAGTTATATCATTGGGCGAGAGTTTTAATTAATCTTGCCCTTTTTTTGAACGGCTCTAATTAGCTAAGTTCTTCCATTGCCACTAGGATTGAGAAGAGAGGCATTTTTATAGAGACGTGCAATATAATGAGAGGTTTAGAAAAACTCGCAATAAAAGGCTCTCACTTAATGACAGAGACAGGATTATAAGCACAATCTTATCTAATATGTATTTTGAGCTAATCTTGAACTTTTCGGTCTGTCTACACCAAAGGATGAAATGTACGAAAGAAAAGAAATAAAAGCCCTGAGTATTTAAGAGTAAAGCCATATGCTTGTCCGATGGCGACCACATCTTTGACCATGTAAATTTTAGGAAAAAAGAGCTGTATATTTTCAAAGATGATACCAATCAGCACATCAAATTGGATGAGTTATGGCGAAAGTCACCACGATTTGAGGAAAGGGTGAGATGGGTATGAGCAAGTGAATACATCAATGCGAACTCTATGCCAAAGGTATCAAGATCCTATATAGCTTGTTCCTACTCCAAAACTCTTAGAAACACTTTTCGTTGAATATATGGTTAGTATTAGTTGATCCCTAGCTAGTTTAACAGAGGCTACAATACGTTCAAGATACTATAAATGGATATACATAATTGACTTGGGATATAATTGGTATCCATGGTAACAAAATAAGATAAAATAAAAAGTATATTTGGATGTATTGGTGTGCATGTATTTAAATCTTTATACAATGTTGTTTATATAATTGTTTTTAGCATAAATTGATTCCAATGTAATCAACTTTGTTGAATTTCGATTTTTCATAGGCCAAACGATTTTTTTTATATTGTTTTGTAATAAGGTAGTGGTGATGACGGTTTGACAGCCGCAACTCTACAAAATATGAAAGGAGTATAGGAAGAGAGACTAAAATAGGTAGACGAAAAAAAGCAAGATAAAGAGGTTTAATCAACTAATAATAAAAGAACCTTTATATACATTTTATTTACATATTTTCTGTTTTGTTTTGATAATCGATTCTCACCCGCATGTGCCTAGTCAATAGTCTGATAATTATGTTACTTTTTGATTCTTACAAAAAAGAAATATAGTTATATTTTAATAAGATTTTAACAAAACTATGGCATATTTTTTTTTCTCTTTCTAATTATCAAAATAAAAATCGTATATTTTCAAAGTTGTGTAAACAAAATTCAAATGTGAGTCTCTTCTCTAAGTTTTAAAAAGTGTATGCTTTTTTTTTTTCCATCATTGGCTGTTCATATTTGATCACGTTCCTTTTGTCTCCTCCGCTGCCTTTTCCACTGCTTCCTCTCTTCTCGACCGCCTCAAGAGCGAACTTGCTCTCGACTTTCCCCCCCTTTAGCTTCCTTCCATACCTCCACAATATATATAACCACAAACATATAAATAGAAAAACATTGTAAAAATATAAAAGCCAAAAACAAGTCGTGATTTTCCTTTTTGCCTTGCAGCATAGAGGCTCACTAATAAACTAGAGCCTTCGGTTCCCTACAAAAAAAAAGTATATGCTTTTTTTTTCTGACATTAATAGCGTATATATAAAATAGTATTAATATATATACAATACAGTATATATGACATGAGAATTCCCATTTTATAATTTGTTTACATTTATACATAAATCGTAAATCTCATTTTTTTATAATACTAATTTGTAATAATAATATATCAAGTCTTCGGCTTTTTCGTTTACTTTCTCCTTTCCTTTCCTTCCCCCCTTTTTATATATATATATATTTTCTTCTTCTTTTCAATTTTTTTTAAAGAAAAAAATAAATAAAATAAGATAAGACAAAAATACGAACGGTTCCATTTTCTTCTTCTTCTTCTTGTTAGGGCGTAGCAATGAATCGGTCCACCCTTCTTACTGATTGTGAAGGTTCGCAATCACCATGTAATGATCAGCATGGAGGTTCAGTCAGAAACATCTTTAGAATCGCACCTCAAGTCAGTGCAGCATTCATCACCAAATTGTACAGGTAAAATAAATTATATATCAAAATTAAAATCAAATATAAAAAATAAATTTAAATGAAAGTTATATATAAGAAAGAATTAGATTTTATTATGATAATATAAAATAGTAGCATTTTTAAATACCATTTACCTTTATCAGTTTTATTATTACTACAAAAAATCACATATACACATATATACACATTTAGCTACATAATGAAAAAAGAAATGAACCAATCATGAGTTTTTTTAAGAGAAAAAAGAAAAAATATCTGACGTTTATATTGATATTTATGTATTTTATATGTAAATATGCATGTATATACGCATATTCACCTACATAAATAAATATCTATGCCTAGATATATATATAATTGTGTGTATATATGTGTATGTGTATGTTTATGTGTGTAATATTATATGTATATATGTATATATAAAATCTACTTAGCTACTTGGCTAGTTAGCTATCTATCTATCTATCTATCTATCTGTATAGTCTTTTATATATGTATGTAAATATATATAAATATATTTATATATATAGAATCCTAGGAATTGAAGAAAGTCAAAACTTTATATCCTGGTCACCCTCTGGTACACAGTTTTGTGTGCATGACATGCATCAATTCTCCAAAGACATCTTGCCTCAGTACTTTAAACACAACAACTGGCCAAGCTTTGTACGTCAACTAAATAGTACGTCTTGGTTTCTCTATTTTTTTTAATAATATAAATAGTAATATATTTGTCAATGACACAATCAGCTACCTTACTTATCATGTGGAATTATCCTTTTTAATTTTCTTTATTTTTCAATTGAACATTCCAAACATCTCATCCCATCTCTAATCTATCTATATAAATAATCTAATCTAATTAATTCATTAATCTGATCATTAGTGTATGGATTCCACAAGGTCGGCGAAGTTTCTGGCTCTCATTCAAGAGCATTGATTCGACATGATTCAAACGTAGTTTACAAGTTTCGCCATCCCGATTTCCAAAGGAATCGCCAAGATCTATTGCATCGAATCAGACGTAAAAAAGCACGATTATCTCATCAGACAGCTTTTCATTACACCAATGGATTTGATATGGTCAAACACCAAGAAAGACAAGGCGACAATAACAGTGTGGACAACAACAGCAACAACAGCAATAACAGCAATGACTCTCACAGCATTAGATATCAACAGCATCAAGATATTAATAATGACAGTTATAATAATAGTCCAGAGTCATCGACTGAATGTCTTGGTCGTAAACATGAAAATTCAACTGGATTTACAAGCGTGGAAGAAGGAATATCGGTCAGTATGGATCAGATCTACCACATCGACGAGACTTTGGAAAGATTGAAGAAGAAATCAGACACGGCTCAGCAAGAGATCGATGATCTACGACAATCAATCATGCTACAACAGAATGTAATTAAAATTTTCTGTATTATTCTTTTTTCTTTGCTTGTAATTTTCTGCTCTACTTTACACACACACACATGTATATAAAATAATAATATACCTTGTGTAGCATATATTGCATGTGTATTTGTGTGTACAAACGTGTATAATTTATTCGGATTTGTACTAATTAGTATTTTTGTTTGTTACAAATATTTGTGCATAGTTGTTAGAGAGGTTTGCGACTATTATGAACACAAATGCTGATTTCTCTGCCAAAGGTAAGCTATAATCGTAGTAATAATTACGATCTATAATAACAATAAGTGCACATTAATCACGTTATATCATATTGTATTGTATTGCATTGATCGGATTATGATTACGATTATGATTCTTGTTGCTGGTGTTGATATTGGTATTGTAAATTTTTATAGAAAGCATGATATATGCCATGGAGCAGTTAAAGACACATGGTAAGAACATCACAGCTACAACTACAACTACAACTACAACTACAGTAATATATTATATGCATTATCTGATTAATAGCAATTTCTATATATATTTGTGTGTGTGTATGTGTGTGTATGTGTATTTAGCTCATGATATATCCATTCGCGAAAATGATGACCACGAAAGACAGTTGGGTTATTCGAATGAACAAGGCGATTTCAATAGCCCATCTTTGGCGACAAATGGTTGGATATTGGCCAATAAACAACGCAGAATGAATGCTATCCAGAGCATCTGCAACTTGCCGATAAACACCCTTCCCTAGGGAAGTGTTTTCTTAGCTAGCGTATAATCGAGTACAACTTTCTTCTTTGGTTTACTCAAACACAGACAACAGACAACAGACACACAGACACACACAGACAAAAAAAAATTACAAAAAACAAATCCCCTTCACCCTTCACTTCCTTTTCTTCTTTCCTTTTGTGATCAATTAAATTTGAATCACAAGCAATAGTCAATTGTATGTTCTTTATTTTATTTTATCTTATTTTCTATTTCAACAACAGTGGTATGTTAAAGAACAAGGTGTCCTTATATAAACATATATGTTTTCTTTATTTCTTTATTTCTTATTTCAATAAAAATAAATAAATATATGACTTTACTTTCAAACAAACAAAAGGCAGTATAAGTAAAACGACCACCAAAACCCTTTCCCTCCTCCTCCCCCTGCCATCTTCAAAGGTTTATCATACAATAGATCCAGCCCTTATTTTTGTTCCCTTATTTGCACTTTAAGAACAATAGTGATAGTGATAATAAGAGAATGAAGAAGAAGAATAAAGAAAGAAATAAATTAAGCAGTAGAATGAGGAGCAGGATAATTATATTTATACCCACATATATAGAAATAAATAAACTAGATACTAGGGAGAAAAAGTGTTATCTTACCAATTTTGGACCACAAAAATGGATAATATACATAAAGTGAAATGTAATGAAATAATAAGAATAAGAATAAGTATAGTAATATATATATATATATATATATATATATATATATATATATATATATATAAAGGTTAAAGAATGTCACGCCTAAAGAGTTGATATTTATACCTATTATATATTGACCTTGGCATTGGCCTTGGCCTTGACCTTCTTCTTCTTCTTACTTCTTACTTCTTACTTCTTTTCACTTCTTCTTCGTCTATCCCTTCTATAAATATATAAAATAATGTTCTCGATCTTTAGCAATTGTACAGATCCTGTACCAGAGGATTCATCTGCTGCATCACGTAGAGGTAATGACAAAACAAAAAGCAATTCAGACATTTGACACAATGTAATAATCATGATCTCATTACAATTGACAATCAATTACCAAAAATAAATAATATAAATATATATAAATTCACCTTCTCGCACACAGTATTCATTAATGTGTACGACATGGTAAATATTTTATTTTATTTTAAAGAAAAATGAGTATTAAAATGGGTTTACACTATGTACACTATGTACACTATGTACACTATGTACACTATGTACAAAGTGCGTAGTCTGTTTAATGAAATTAAGAAAATACGAAAGAAATCACAACCAACATACATTTACATATCATTATTGAATTTAATCATAAAAATTAAATATCATTTCTTTCACTTAGGTTCAACCAAGTCTTATTACTTCCGTTGGTTATTTTGCTTTGGGAGTCGGTAAGTATTAATTAATGATGTCAAATTAATTCAATAAATGAATGAATGAGTGCTAATTGATTGATTTATTGGTCTATTGTATAATATTTGATATATATATATATATATATATATATTGTTTTTACATTAGGTATATATCATTCTGGTCTCGAGTTGGACGATCGAGAATATTGTTTTGGTGGACATGAAAGAATTGACGAAACAGGCGTATTTGTGATGGAACCTAGAGTAGGTCCGCCAAATGTACTCTACAAGTAAGCTAGAAAATAATAATACCTATTGAACAAACATATTTCATTATTATCAAGATCAAGATTAGCATTATTGTTAAATTTTATTTTGTTTTTTGTTTTCATTAGACGATCTATTGATATGGGATGTACAGCTTATACAGAAGAAGAAATTCAAGACATCCTCATTACACTCTCCAAGGACTTTGTGGGGCCCTCATACAGTCTCTTAAAAAGGTTTACATCATTTGCCAATACTTGCATGTTCGTTTTCTAACATTAACAATATGCATACCGATATTTACATTTGCATTTGCATATGTATATCTTGGATGATTTGAATTTATTAAATACATAGAAACTGTAATCATTTCTCGAGTAAACTTTGTTTGCTCCTTACTGGAAGACCTGCCCCATCCTGGATCAACCGGGCAGCACATCTCGGGACATTTTTCCCTTGCATTATTACAGACGACTTGGTACAGCCACCTGACTTTGATGATAGTAGTGAAGAAGAAAATGATGTCCACCACGATCACAGCAACGTTCGCAACAACCAGGATCACTATGCCGATGACTACAGCTATGACAACGACGACAACGACAACGATACAAATAACAACAAAAATAGTAGACATATTGACAATGAAAATGAAGACTATAATGATGTGTGTCCCACAACGTCTCTATTACACAACGACAAATTGAATTGGACAACAGGAAAGAGTGTCAGGAATATACATGCAAGCGGAATCTGGTCTTCAAAGAAAAGCTTATCACCCAGTCCAATAATACCATATCAAGATCAAGATCAGAATCAAAGCCAAAATCAGGATCATAATCAGAATAAGGATCAGGATCAGGATCAAGGCCAAGGTAAAGATCAAGACCAGGGTCAAGATCATGGCAACAATAATGACAAGCGACAGATTATGAAACGATCGAAATACTCTTTGTTTAGATATAAGAGCAATTCAAAGGATAATTGATATACAGATAAAAAGTGATAATAATTACAGCGGTAATAGTAGTAATAGTAGTAAATAAGATCAATAGCAATAGAATTAACAACAGCAACAGCAAGAGTAATAGGGATAGTAATATATTTCTAGCCACAATTTTTTATTTTGATATAATTTTATTGGTTGGTCGATTTAAATAGCTGTTGTGGCCCGATATAAAGTGGATGGGATGTGTATGCTTGATCCAAATCACTGCGCTTTAGACAAGTAAGACATACTTTAATACTTGATTCTCCTACGACTTGCTCGAGTCTCTTTGGTAGTGGGCGGACAGTCATGAGATGCTGAGATGGAACAGATGCCACACCTTTTGGAGGTCTTCCTCGGCGAGGGGTGGAGGGTGGATGAGGGTGGAGACCATGGACACGATAGTACATGTGCTTGGGGTGCTGACAATATCCTAGACGCGCATTTGAAGATCTCTTGGTCGCAGTAACAGTAACAGAAGTAGAAGCAATAGCAGTAGCAGTAGAAGTGGCAGAAGCGTTGTTGTTGTTGTTGTTGTTGTTGTTGATATTCATATTAGTGGTAGTAATTGGCTCCAGACTGAGACGAGATGGCCAAGTAGAAGACCACAGAATTGGGTCGGGCATAGTTTGGGACAAGAGTTCAAAGAATATACCATCATCCATAGGAATTAAATTTGAATTACTAGGATCAAAGGAGTCGGAGAAAATGAAGGTTTCAAAGCTTTCCTTTGGAATGTCTGTCATTATATACGATTAATATTACTATTCTTTAATTAATTTAGTATTTTATATATTATACAAGGTAAAGAAGTGTACTCTTTTAACTTTTTCTATTTCGTTCTTTCTTTTTCAAGACAAAATAAAATAAAATAGCAGCCATAATATTAATATAATTTAATTATTTATTTATATGTGATGATGATGTAGATATTGATGATGTAGATGATGGAGTATTATTAATAAACAACAAACGACCACGTTTTGGCTTTATACTTATAAGTATAATGTATATGTACATGTATATGCGTATGTATAAGATATAAAGTTATCATGGCGTCACGCTTGTGCATCGGGCATGAAAAGGAGGCATTAAGAAAACAACGATTTTAAAGGTATACAAAACTCGCTCCGTACAAGATGCTTTCTCTTTCTCTCTATCTCTTTATGTATGTGCTCTGTGATATCTATGAGCCTGTCTATTCTGTCATTTTTTTTTTGCAAAACTTCAACGTATAAAATTGAAAGTCCAAATCCAGCACAGTACAGGGTTTATACCTATATACTTTATTTTGATTAATAATAATTGTGTTAAGGTTACCAAACTACATTTTTTTTTATGATTTAGTAAATTTGTTTCCATCGCAACAAGTTACGATCTGATTGTGTGCTTTATAGATAGAAATAGGATCAATTATATATATATATATATATATGTGTGTGTGTGTGTATAATATTAAGCGTACGTTTATTCTTGTTTTCATTCCAGTTGCAATTTTCACCCTTCTTATTCTTATTCTTTGGTTCAAATGGGCTTAGATCCTATAGGGTTATCAATCTACGAACAGAGAAGAGTTGCTGACCAGTGCCATCTTTTAGCTGGCTTAACTATATAACCATCAGACAGTCCAAGTTTTGATCCTTCGATTAATTTGGTTAGCTATTCCCATCAAGGATAAATCTAAATATCAATTGCTTTTGCTTCTTTAACATAATGGTATGGTTATTATGTGTATATAGGCAAGTGAGGCTTTTATTTATTTATAGTGTAGAGTTCTTGTTCTTGTGGATATTTATGAATTAAGAGAAAATAGCAGAAATCTACATTTATTATCATTAATAGCTTGACCTTGACAAAAGAATAACTTTTGCTGCTTAATGAATTTGGAACGCTCGTTATTACTATTTATTATTGAAGATGCGACAGTAGTAATATAAAATATATATAAAAATAAAAACCATGATTTCAATTTCAGTTTCGACTTTTGATTTTGTTTCAATAATGCACAGCCTATCAGTATGTCAGTATGTCAGTCCGCCAGTCTGTCAACCTGGTTGTCTATATGTAAATATATATATTTAACTACCATTATCACCCTTATTATTACTAGTTTTTACGCGGTATATTACTCCTCCTAAAATAAGCATTAAAGTTAAAAGGGAAACCAGAAAATCCTTACTCTGTTTATTTAATTCGTGTCTCTATATATACATTATTTAAAACAATTTGGTTTGTATTCTGTCTAGATACGATTAGTACTGTTGTTGCTACTGTCTATAGATACCGTATTGATGACATATAAAATACGTACGATGTAAGTGAAAGCAAAAACAAAAGCAAAAGTGAGTCGAATGAGTAAATTGGATTGAGTGACAAACAGAAAGTTTTGTACAATCAAGCTCAGTTTCATCTCACACGCTTTCTTTATTTCGTCTTAATTTCCCTCTCTCTCTCTCTCTTACTCTCTTTCTTTCTCCTTTCTTTCCTTTTTATTTTAATTTTAATTTTTAATTTTTTTTTTAAATTTATATTATAAAAAAAATCTTATTCTTCTTCTTCTTGTAAGAAAAATAAATAATATTATTAAATATTTAAAAATATTAATATAATATATATTTTTATATATAAAACACCAAAAAATAAATAAGAAATAAATATATAATTATATATCGTTTATATATATATATTTATATTATATATATATATTAAAGAGAGAGAGAGAGAGAGAGAGAGAGAGAGAAAGAAAGAAACATGCCATCGGGAAAGGTAATGAATGAATAAATTGATGACTGACTAACTGAATGAATGAATATAAAAACAAAAAGACATACATGTGACGAAATGACTAGAAAAATAACAGAATTAACAAATGAACAACATAAATCGATGAATAGATCCAGGCGCCTACTCTCTGTTTTGGAGACATTAGCCGGGAAGAGATCAACACCCTGCTGGGTGAAGCAGGCGTGTCTCTGACTGCGCCTCAAAAGGTAAAAAAAAAAAAAACAAAAAACAAAAAACAAAACAAAACAAAAGACCAAAAAAAAGAAGAAGAAGAATCCAAGGATTATTATTATATACATATATACAAAACATAAAGCAGTGACAAAAAGAAGAAGAAAGAATGACAAACAGACAAACGGAATAACTTGGTACATTATCATTAGACTCCATTTGCCACTGGTGTACGTAGAAAGGCTCCATTGCGTAAACAAAAACAAGACGTCGAAACTGTGAATGTTGCACCTAGACAAATTGCACCAGTAGCAGTAAAGAAAGAAGATCACGTCTTACCAGTAAAACCAACTCAATCACCCCAAACACCAGCACCAACAACACACACAAACGCAAACGCATACTCGAACGCAAACGCACATAATACACGAACCACGCACACACAAAATACACCACCAGCATCAGCATCAGCATCGGCATCAGCATCAACATCAGCACCTGCTTCTGCACCAACAACACCTACACCTACAAATACACATACACATACACATACACATACACCTGCACCTGCAACTGTACCTACATCGGCATCTGCACCTAAAACACCTACACCCACGCCATCACCAGTACAAACACCAACACAATCCTCAACACCTACACCTACACCAACACCAACACCAACACCAACATCAGTATCAACACAGGCATCTGTACCAACTCCAACTCCCACACCAGCACCAGTTAAACCAAAAGCACCGTCAAGCTGGGCATCTCTTGTTAAATCAAACGTACCTCCAAAACCAGTTTCCCCGGCTCCCGAAAACGTACCAATCCAAAAGATTGTCAAACCAGTTGCTGTGGGCCCAACAGTACCCAAATTCACTGGAATTGCAGACATCATCAATACATATACACCAACTTACGAAGGACCACTCTTACAGCCACGTGGATTGATCAATAATGTTAATACATGTTTTATGAATGTGGTAAGTAAATATCTAACAATAACAATAACAAAAATAAATATATTTGTACTGTGGTAATGCTGGTGGCGGTGGCGGTGGCGGTGGTAATATTTAAATGGAAAGAGGAAGAAAAAGAAAAGAGAAAAGGGCTAAAGGACAGGCAGAGATATATGAAAGGAAATACTCGAAATCTGTGTTCGTTTTTCATTTTTTCACTAAACACTACAAAGTAAATTCTTATTTAGATTCTTCAACCTCTGTCACATTGCCCGCCTTTCTACAACCTTATCAAGAGCATCAGTCAACATGTCGTTCATACGTTCAAGAGTAAAACTCCTTTATTGGATTCATTGTAAGTATATTACTTGACTAATTAATTTTATCCAAAGTGTTGTAATTTGTTGGCTGGGTTGATAAGGTATTAGAGCTGGTTAAAGAAAGAAGGAAAGAGAAATAGGAATTATTATGTGTGTATGTGTGTTGATGCTGTTGTTATATTGATATTGGTATTTAGGATTGAATTCATTAATGAATTTATGCCAGAACGTACCGACCGTATTGAAGATCAGTTTGGAAAACCATTTGTTCCTGAATATGTGTACGATGCTCTCCGAGGACAAAAGAGATTTGATTCATTAAGGGTATTTTTTTTTTGTTATTTTGTTATTTAATTGGAGTGAATGAATGAAACGTTGGAAGTTTAGTAGTAGATCATTAAATACTGAAATTAATATATATATATATATATGTGTGTGTGTGTGTGTATCTTTTACTGTTTTTCAGGGTCGTCAAGAAGATGCAGAAGAATTTTTGTGTTTCCTATTGGACGGTTTGCATGAAGAAATGGTGGCTGGTAAGGCAAGGTGAAAAGGGGATGGTTGATGAAGAGAGGGATAATATACATATTTGTGTCTGTGTTTATTCGTGAATTTGTGATAAACATATATTTATATACATGTTTGTGTATATATTATAGTATTGAAGGATCAGAACGATAAAAGATCTCAGGAAGCAGCAGCTAATGGTACTCAGGATGTCTGGCTGGAGGTCGGACCCAAAAACAAGACAAGCAGTTTGAGAAGTGTATGTACAAAATAGTAATAATATTCGAGTAATTGATCAAGATTTATTGATATCCAATTATTATTTTTAATAGCCTGGATTCCAAGAGTCACCTATTAGTAAGATTTTTGGTGGCAAGATTCGATCTGTATTGAGATGCCCTGGTGCCAAGGATTCGGTCAACTTGGAACCTTACCAGTCATTACCCCTGGATATCCAGCCTTCTAATGTGAATACAATCCAAGATGCAATTCGCAACATGACCTTGCCAGAGACAATGCACGACTACATGTCTCCAAAGGGTGTCTGTGTCGATGCAACCAAGCAAATCTACCTGGAGAATATTCCTCCTGTGCTGATTCTGCACATGAAACGATTTGTATTTGACAACGTTGGAGGTGTCCAGAAATTACAGAAACAGGTTACCTATGGTACCACATTGACTATTGAGCCTGGTAAGTTTATGAATCAAATCAAATCAAATCGAATCGAATGAATAATATTTTAATTGGTTGTTAATTAATTTAATTATCATTATTTTTTGTACTTTTTTTTTAAAAAAAAACAATACTAATACTAATAATAATATGCAGAATGGATGGCACAAGGCTCAAAATCTTCTGGTCCTGTCAGTTATCAGCTATTTGGAGGTAAAATCTTAATCTTGTGCACTGTGATGTTTTTAATATAAAACATAAGCTGATCTGTGTATTGTTGGTTTCTAATTCAATATTAACATTTGTATATACATTTATTTCTCGAAATTAGTGGTATATCATCATGGTGTATCTGCTGGTGGCGGTCACTACACATGCGACATTAAACGACGTAATGGAGAATGGCTTCACATTGATGACACAACCATCACACCTATCTCTGAGCAGCAAGTCTTGGTGACAGAGAATACCCGCACAGAATCCATACATACTGATCAAACTGCTTACATTTTGTTTTACATGAGAGTATGAAAATGAAGAAAGAAAGAAATGGGAAAAAAAAGGATTTTTTTATGAAAAAAAAAGTATCAATATATACATATATAAATAAATGAATAAATGAATAAAGAATTAAAACATAAAATAACTTTCATATATTATACATTTGTATATTTCACCCAAGAAAAGTAACACGTTATTTAATAAAAGGACTTTGTAGAAAGCCTTGGTTTTGATCTTGGTTTTCATAATACAAGGCTTAGGTTAGTTAGTAGAGGAAGAAGAAGAGAGGTATATGAAATGGAATGGAATATGGTTGACCCAAAAGAATTAAAAAAAAATCATACGATTTAAATTTGATGAAAAAGAAAAAGGTGTAACCCTCTGAATAATATAAAATCCATTCATTTGTCTATCTATATCTATTGTGTCTACTATATTTGTACACCTCTGTACGTCTGTACGTCTTGACTGCTTGACTGCTTAACGGCTTGTCTGCCTGCCTATTTTAGCCCTCTGTCTGTCTACCTTGTCCATTTTTTTATATATATTTATTTTATTTTTATTAAAAAATAAACAAAAATAAACAAAAAAAAAACCTTTAAATCCAAAGAGGGTTCGTTAGTTGGAGGGTGGTTTTTTTTTTAAAAAAAAAATCAATTATACGAATCTTTCATTGCAAAAATAATAATGATAATTACAATGATCTACTTGGTTTTTTTTTTTTGGCTTCTCTCTCCTTTTTTTTGGGGGTTTTTTTTTAGGTCGATTGGTGTCATATATATTTTATGTATTTCTTTAATCCATGACATAGCCCTTGCCCTTGAATCCTTCGGAAGAAATACCAGAGATAGGGTTGGAGTTCTGGCTCTTGAGATACTCGTTGGTAGCCTCCTGCCATTCCTTGGTCATAGTCTTGGGAGTTTCTTGACCTGGGTAACCCAAAAAAAATTGACACGTATATATACATATAGAAGTAGAGTAGTGGGGTTTTGTTTAGTTCACACCACAAATAAGTAAAAGTAATAGAAGAAGAATTGTAATAATGCCCAATATACTTACCCTTCTGGGATACAGCGTAACTGAAAGCAGCAGATACAACAAGAGCACCTACGACACCGCTGAAAACCTTGATACCGTGTCCAGGCTCAGTAATGGGTGCGCGGGGACCGTGAGCACCAAAGGCAATGTAATCTATTAGATATACAATAGATTCAATATATATATATATATATTTATATTTATAAAAGTTCAATATATGTATATAAATCAATAATATTAATAATTATACTATAACTAATGATAAGCATAAGAAGAAAAAAATCTTACAAGCAGCCTTCTTGTCGTCAGTAGAAAGGATCTTCCAGTCCTGCTTCTGGGCTGTCTCGAGCTGCTTGGCCACAGTGTTCTGCTCGGCAGCGGAGAAAGTCTTCCAGCGGGTCTCGAGGTTCTCGACAGCAAGATTGGAGTTGTTGCGACGAGCTTGGATAGCCTTCTTGACGACCGACTTGGCCTGGTTACGAGTCAGATTACAGAGCATGTCTTGAAAATAAAATAAAAGTACAGTGGTAGTGCAATAAAAAAAAAAGGAAGAAGAAGAGAAAGAGGTGAAAGTGAGTCAGGTGAGAAAGAACGAGATATTTCAAGCTTTGCACAACGGTGAAGAAAATTGGTGGTTTTATTCAATTCCCGGGGGGTAAGTAAGTTTGTATCACAGTTTTGACGAAACTAAAGAATTAGATGCTTTTTTGGCTATGAGAATAATATGTTGATACCGGTCCTTATTCCCCACTTTTTAGGTTCCTATCAAAGATCTTCATATTTATAAGAGGTACAAATCACCTAACAGAAAAGCAGATTTAATATAAATAAAAGATACCAAAAGAAAAGAAAAATTAAAATTACTCTCTTGATCTTTGTACACATTTGACTCGACAGCTAATCGAAAACAGTAGTGAGTTGTCTTTATTTATTGAAGTTCTTTCTAATATTTTGGCACTCTTGCTACAAGAAAATCTGTAAACTATGGCTTTCTTTATCAAATCGCGGTTGCTAGACAACAAATAGCAAAAGTACTTTGCAAAGTCGTATTTTTTTGAAGTTATTACATGATAAAAGTGTAGAAATCGTTTGCGCCTGTAGTTAGATCCGCAAAGTCAATTGTAACTAAACGAATGACTTTATCATTATTATTATTACTTACAAGCATAGTACATATATATATATGATTTGCCTATTCCCTTGGATATCTTCAATGTCTTACAAGGCGCTTGGAGTTTGGTTGAGATCTCTTGCAATTATATGACTTGATTCGCTTGAGAGGGAGACAAAACACGTGTCTATAAAAGACCTCTTTCTTTAACTGCATCACCATGATCTGTATATTTTGGATCCTATTGTTGACCTTTTCTGTCGATTTTTTTTTCATATCCAACAATAGTATACCCGTCCTTTTGTTTTAAATGTTTGTACACATTTTTGATATTTAGGTAATTTAGTGACGATATTTTCAACAAGCTCGTCTACAGTGAGTAAACACTTGTAAGGGCTACTAATTTAATGATTGTCATATTATTACCAAGATATCTGTCTTTCATTACATATAGCTCTTTGAATCTAGGATTCTATCCAGTCGTATTTTTACAGGAGACTGGCTCTTTGATAAAATCCACTTTTTTATCTTTGTACCATTGACTTAAGCCAAGTGGAGTCTTCTCATCAAATTTACTTGTATTGCATTAAAATTGCGTATATTTCTTTAGCGGTGATTTTCTTTCTGAAATAGCTCGCATTGTCTTGCAATTCGCCAGTGAAGAAAGCAACGTTAAGGAATTGAAGGATTTGTGAATCACATGGTATAATTCAAATGTCAAGACAACATTATTGGGAAAAAAAAGTTGAGCTTAGATTATTTGCATGGGTCTTTCGCATTTATATGTCTTTGGTCGGGTAAGATAGTGTGAGGAGATAGTTAATATTTAATGATCTCCTTATATGTCTCTACCCATCCTCTTAGTCGATTTACGCTCTTCTCTTTGCGAAGACATGGCTACGGGATGTGCTCTCTTGGGCTGTTACCATCCCACTTTAGAAAATACAAAGCTCTCAAAAACATCATATAGCAAATAAAATCCGAAGCAAATTCCGTGACGTTCTCTTTTGCCTTTCAGCAATACAGGGCGCAGCAACCATCTTGACCACAATGCCCCGTACAAACAAAAATGGATAGTAATCGTAGTCTGCATAGAAAAACACCAGTTTTGAGTATTACCCAGAATATTCATTCTCCGATAACAAATTGGACAGCTAAAGACTTGTTTCGATCTTGAGTCTGTATTTTGTACCCAAACACACACACACATACACAGAGTAAATGTTAAACTTGTTTTTATTTCTTTAATGTTACATACCTTATTGCAAAAGAGCTGTAGTATAAATATCTTGCTTTTCTTTGCTTGCTTACAATAAATAAAAGCAAAAATATATCAGTCAACTCAATGGGTGCGTAATTGATCATAAATTTCAATACAAAAAAAGCATTTAGAAATATATATATTGGACTAATAGATTAAACATAATTTAAAAGATATACTAAAATACTAGAGGTATTCTTCTAAGTAAAAGCTGCAGGGTACTATTAATTGGACTCGTGGATTGTGTACTGTACCAACAAGAATACTCTTGATCCTCAAATAAATAAAGATCCATTTTTGCAAAGCTTGTTTTTTTTATTACTATTTCGTCCTTGTAATTCCGAAACATAAGTAGAGACTAACTGAATGAGAATACGGCATGCGTGAAATACAATATCCAAGAAAAAATATTATAGGATATTTAATCATCTTAATAACTTCCGTACTTGGGAGTATTTAAAGAGGGAATTCTTCGATATCCTGTTTTGTTGGGGGAAGGCTGTAAGATGTATGTGGTCTTGGCAGTGATGCTACTCGAGAAAAATAATGATATTAAAAGCCTTTTTTTAATAGTCTTCTTGGCGGGAAACATGATACGTTGTTTGGGAGAGCAGGTAAAATTGTAGGACTAGAGAACAATAGAAACAGTTGGGGTAAGATTGAAAGGATTAACAGGTGCAAAAAAAGAAAGAATAAGAAAGCTTCTCCTCACACGAACGGGGATAGCGGCAGACAAAGGTACCTATTATGCGTGTGTTTAAAATCCATTGGCAAGCTTGTTTGAGTATGGTACTGCAGCCATTGGCTAATCCAGTTTCGATATATATATAACTATTGTCATTTGTATTGATACCATAGTATTGATACCTTTTGTATTATTGTGGATAGAAATCAATGAGAAATTAATACGCTTAATGAAACCTTGCTAGCAAGATAAAATAAATAAAGAAGTACATAAAAACAAGTTGTTTTTTTTTGAAAATAACTGGTAATTTTATCTAAATATTTTCTGTCAGATAAACCAAGTATTACATATAATGTGGTTTAATTAATTGGACACGATAACCCAAAATATATGTTACTATTTTTTTTTTAAAATAAATAAATTCTTGATCAAATCAAATAACCATTTCTTTATCCCAATACTTTTAACTTGATTAAACTATTTATTTAAATACATCGTGTATAGTTTATTATTGTTTCTTGAGACACCATGAGAGATCTGTATCATGGGGATAAAGGATCATTCGGTCGTTGTTCGGCACGAATCCCTTTTCAGGAACCAACTGTGCTTCAATGTCCCGACGCAATTGTTGTTTCTGCTGATCAGATAGGGTGGCGATATAGCTCTTGGTCAAGACGCGTTCAAATACGTGAGAGGTTGGGACCTCAAAGTCGTTTGTGAATCTGATATGCTTCAGAGGCAAATCAAACAGCTGGTTGGCCTCGTCTGTCTCAAACACCTTTTTCCAGTGGCCTTTGCGGTACTGTGGGGCGGCCTCGTCATAGACTTCATATATTCTCCGAATTGCGGCCACCCAGTCACTCCGCTCTTTGCTCTCCATGTTCCATGTCAATGCAAACACACCCCCTGGCTTCAGCACCCTGTGGATCTCTCTCAGGGTCTCGATGTCGTCGAACCAGTGGAATGCCTGGGCAACCATGACCGCGTCCTGAGACCCATCATCGACTGGTATTTTCCATGAGGTGCCTTCCAAGGCAGGAATACCGACCTGGCGCTCGAGCTCTTGGCGCATTGCCTCCACTGGCTCAACTGGAGTCACTCTGTAGCCGGCTTTTACAAGAGGCTCGGTCATGATTCCTGTACCTGCAGCCAAGTCTACCACATTACTTCCTGTAGGCACGATTTGTAAGAAATGCTCTAAAAGGGAGTCTGGATAATGAGGTCTAGTCTTTGCTTTAATTGGAATAACAAAAAAAATTAATTGGTCTTATTCTAACAAGGTTGCTATGGGTTTATTAATTTAACAAACCATATGACTCTGCAGCAGGTTTGAAGCCTTCTGCGGCAGTTTGATGAACTGTCTTCATAATTAAAGAAAATAAGCAAGTAAAAAGAAGAAGAAGAGGTAATGATAATATTAGAGCATCTGCAGCGGTTACATTAAAATTAATTTTTGCGACTGTTTTAATGTAGATTACGAAATGGATTTTTTTAAAAAAAATATAAAATAAAAATAATGTGTCTGCAGCGGTTGCATTTCAGAAAAAACATTATGTTATAAATCGTACCTTTTGCGCTTTGTTTACCTTTCTTAAAAAAAACCCCCCAAATCTCACAAATTATGCTCACTATGAATCCGAAAATATTAAACACTAATTAATTACTTGGTTAAATTTTATATTTATATAGTCAAAAGAGTTCAACTGTTTTTTTTTGTAAAAATGTATCAATTATTTTGGCCAACATACATTAAATCTAATGCTTTATGAAATGTAACCGCTGCAGACACATTATTTTTTATTTTATTTTTAAATAAAAAATAAACATATAAAGTCCGACAACTCGTCTCAAAAAAAAAAAGAATCGGGTGGGTGTTGAACTGATTAGTGGACGCCACTATCAGAGTCTGAGTTGAACGGGAAGAACCCAAAAAGAGGGAAAAGAAGAAGAGAAGGAGGAGGCTTAATCACTATAGTACAGGTACCTCACTCCCCTCTCGACCGCAGCCCAGCCCCACCCCTATTATATTCTTTCTCTCTCTTACTTTCTTTTTTCTTTCTTTCTTTCTTTCTTTCTTCCTTCCTCTTGTCTGGTCTTAGAACTGTTAGTTTTGCTTGCTTCTTTGATTTATTTATTTTTACTCGCTACTAAATTTTACTCTTTATTAAATACATTATTCTGGTGGTCATTAGACAACAAGAAGAGAGAAAAAAATAGAATATAATGACGTCTAAAGATGAAGATATCCACATGAATCGTCGAGATGGCAATGGTACTGGCAATGAGGATGAAGAAGCGTTTCTGCCTGGACCAACTGTCCAACGTGTGTCGGCCGAGAAGCACAACCCGGTTGGCCTTATCGTGGCAGTAATCACATTCTACTTTATTATTTCCTTGTCTGTCGTCTTTTTGAACAAGTTTATCATGAGTGGATCCGATTTCCCCTATGCTTTGTTTGTTACATGGTATCAGCTAGTCGTAGCGCTTGTCTTATTATTGATTTGGGCACAAGCAGGCAAAAGGTAAGCAATAGGTTTACACATAGTAGATATTAATCATTGTCTTTCTTTCTTTCTTTTTTTGGTGGTATAAGTTATGCGATACTTAGTATCATTCCTCCTTATGAATTCGATTTACGTATAGCCAAAAAGGTTGCCCCATTGACATTTGTGTATGTAATGATGTTGGCTCTCAACAATCTGTGCCTCAAATATGTCGAGGTTACATTCTACCAGGTAAGACACTACTGTATATATATAAAAGAGAGAAAGAGAATGCGTGTATGTGTGTGTATTTATGTGTATGTATGTGTGTGTATGTGTGTGTGTGTGTGTGTGTATGTGCATGGTATTGATTGATGTCCTTTTTACTAAATATTATTATGATCATTCTTTTTTGAAAGGTTGCACGATCATTGTCGATCAATTTCACAATTTTGTTTACCTACATGATTCTTGGCAAGACAACCTCGATGCCTGCTATTGTGGCCTGTGGTATCGTATTCTTGGGATTTGCAATTGGATCCTATGGTGAGATCAACTTTTCATGGGCTGGTATCTTTTATGGTGTTGGATCTTCTGCATTTGTGGCTCTGTATGGTATCTATGTTCAAAAGACATTGGCTGCCGTAGACAATAATCAATGGTAAATTTATTTATTTACTTTTTTTTGTTCATTATATCCTCGTTATTTTATTTAACCATCTCTCTTCTTTCTAATATGATGATGATAATAATAGGCGCCTGTTGCACTATAACACTACCTTGGCTATCATCTTCCTCTTCCCATTAGTATTGTTCTCGGGTGAATTGTCCGAGATTTTGGCAACAAAGACCGAAATTCTTAGTGATATGGGATTCTGGGCCCTCATGGTAAGTAGATTCTAATAACTCTAATAGTAGTACGTAAAATATATATATATAGATATTCTGTAATATTTGTATGATAAAACACAGAGTTTAAATCTAACCAATCTATATAAATCATAAAGACCCTTACTGGTGTCACTGGTTTCGGTATCAACATTGCAATGTTCTTGCAGGTCAAGTATACATCTGCTCTGACCAACACTATCTGTGGTACAGCCAAGGTAAACGATAATAGTAAAATATAGACAAAAATGCTAATGATAGCTTTCAATGGAGGAGAATGAATCTATATTTATGTACATCTATATATTTTTTTATTTTAGGCTTGTGTTCAGACGGTGATGGCTGCAATGATCTTCAGAAATCCCATCTCAGAACTAGTAGGTTTTATTCTATAAAAATTTATCTCTGTGTGCGCGTGTTTCATTTTTTGATTCTTTTTTTTTTCTGATCTATTATTATCATTTATTATTGTAGAATGGCTTGGGTATCTTATTGGCCTTGTTTGGTTCGGGTTACTATGGTTGGGTGCGTTACAAGGAAAGAGTCGGAAAGTAAAATTCCAAAACCAAACAAAAAGAAAAGAAAAAAAAATGGAAGGAAGGATGAGCTTAATCAACTATATAAATATATAAATAAATAAATAATATTTTTGAAAAAAAACACAGCACAATTCAATTCAATTCAATTCAATTCAATTCAATTTAATATGGGACATATAAAGGATTTTAAGGAAAGCGTGGCTTTTATTATACATGCAAAGATAACTACAGATAAAGAAGGGGAGACAGATAAAGAAAGATAAAGATAAAAGATAGAGGGGCAAAAGAAGTAGAAGAAGTAAAAGAAGTAAAAGAAGTAGAAAGTAAAAGAAAAGGCCTTGATTATGAGCGTGTTGTTGTGTAAGAGTGAGTGTTGTTTTCATTTGATTAAATCAAAAACATAGAGAGCATATATAAAATTATAATATATATATATGTATATATAAAATAGAAAACACATTAAATGTAATATGAATTATACATACATACATACAGAATATGTTGATACTTCTTGTCTTTCGTATCTGTTTCAATTTCATTCATTTTTTTTGTGTTTGTTTTTTGCTTATTTTTTTTCTCTTTTCCTTTTTTTTGGAGGAAAAGATACTATTTTGTTTTTGGTGTGGTTTGGATTGTTTCTTTGGTGAGTGGAATGGAAGAAGAGGAAGAGGAAGAAGAAGAAGAAAGGGTAGGAGGGGGGGGGGGGGGATTTGTTTCTTATAATAATAGTAATTATTATTATTGTTGGTATGCTGTGTCCTGTCCATCTACAGGTCCTGCCAAGGGAGTTCCCAAGTACTGAGAACCATCAACATTGTCTACGTTGTGGAAGTCAAGAATCTCAGAGTACATCATGACTAGTGAAAGATTATCATAAAGTTAGTTACCAGACCTCCTACTTCACACACACAACCCACACACACATACACACAACTCTAAGAACACCAACTATGTATACACTAAATCTTGTTTACCTTTCCATGTATCTACTGGCAAATCTGCTTCATTGAATGACCAATCGAACTTCTCGGGTGCAGCAGGTTCATCGGAAGGATCATGGTAGGGTGCAAGGTAAGGATGTGACAAAGCTTCGGTAGCAGTAATACGTTTACGAGGATCAAACATAAGCATCTTTTCCAACAAGTCAATAGCCTCGGGGTCTTGTCCTGCAAATCTCTGGCTAAATGGGACAGGCTCCCGTTTTGGCAAATTATTCACAAAGCGAAGGGTCTGAAATAAATAGGTAAGTATATGGATCAATCAATCTTTAAAATAAAGAGTCTTACATTTGCACTACAGATAGTAGAAATAACATCATCAGGAGGTGTACCAAGCAATTCAGTAATAATAGAGAATTGATGAACGTCTATAATTTTTTTAAAAAAAGAAGAACGATTAGCTTTTGTATATATGTATATATATATATATATATATGTGTGTGTATAGTATCGACTTACGATCTTTTCCGGGGAAGAGGGGCTTTCCTTCGAGCATCTCTGCAAAGATGCAGCCTGTACTCCAGATATCGACTGCGACGTCATATTTCTGCCAGGTGAGCATAATCTCGGGTGCACGGTAATAACGCGTAGAGACATAGCCTGTCATCTGAGGATCTTGGATACGAGCAAGACCGAAATCACAAATCTTCAAATCACAATTCTCATTGATCAAGATGTTGCTAGGTTTCTATATAAATTTTATACACAAGCACATGTAAAATAAAAATAAATAAATTAGTAAAACTATCATTATGTTTTATATGTATTACATCACAGTACCCTTAACTACCTCTACTCTACTTTACTCTTAAATACACTATACACAGAACAATAATCGTTTTTTTTGGCCCTTCAAAGAAAAAAAAAAGTCTTACCAAGTCACGATGAATAACACCAGCTGAATGTACGTATTTGAGACCTCTCTACTCAAAACAAAAAAAAAGTAAATAAAGATGTACATAATCATATATACACACACTCTCTCTCTCACTATCTTTCTTTCACTCGATCCCTTGTTTATACAATTGTATATAAGCTATAGGCTATAAAATAAAACTCACCAATATTTGATACAAAAAGTATTGAATGAATTGTTTCTCAAGAGGACGAGACTGCAAAAGTCTGTGAAGATCTGTTCCTAGTAATTCTGTAACGAAATAGCTATAAAAGAATTAAAATACAATAACAACTATTGGTAAGTAACCTTTCTTTAATTATCACAATGTGTATATATTTGTGAATACATACATGTCTTCAAGGGGAGAAATAAAGATATCACTCAAACTGATGATCTGCAAACAACGATAGTAATGAGTATTGTATTTAGGAGTATGTGCTTTTAGGTGCTTGCTTGCTTGCGTAGGTAGGTAGGGTTTGTTTGTTATATATATATAATCACATAATTCAATTGTTTTGGTTGTTTGCTTACATTTTCGTGTCTAAGTGCCTTCAAGAGCTTGAGTTCTCTGTAGGTACGTTTGGCCAATACTGGGGCAGAGAATGGCTTCATGATCTTCTTAATTGCAACACTTGTTCCGGTCAGCTGATCTTTGGATGAGCTAAGCAATGATGACGATCAATTAATAAAATAATAATAGTAATGGCTGGAATCATGTGTTCATTTCTACAGTATCTATACGTAAGTATGTATTTATTTATTTCTCTACTCACCAGACAAGTCCAAAGGCACCCATTCCTACAGGTTGGAGATCAATGTATCTATATAGTATGATTTAGTATATAATAATAATAATAAGTATTAAAATAAAATAAAAATGAAATGAAATGAAACATAAAGGATAACAACTTTATTTTTTATTTTTTTTAGTATTTCAAGGACATCATTACGAATGAGTTGCTTTTTTTCGGCTGTGTAGAAAGTGGAGTGGAGTGAAGTAGAGCTATATAGCCTTATTGTCCTTCTTATTCTTCTTATAAAACCAAGACATCTACATACTCACACTCACACTCACACACAAACGAAAAGAAGAAGACTCTTTTTATTTTAGTTTATTTTTACCTAGTGGTGACCTCGAATACGGTACCGAAGATTGAGAGTTTAACGAATTCAGCCATAACTATTGAGATCTATGGTTAATGAGTAAATGGAAGAAAGAAAGAAATAGAAACAAAATTGAAAAAAAAGGTCTTTTATGAAAATATTATATACAACGTAATATATAATACATCCTTTTCTCTCTGTACTTTAAACGCACGCTTGTATCAACACACCCACACCCACACCCACACCCACACTTGTATACATTTACATTTACATATACATATACATATTATCAATAGCTCAAGTGCGTTTTCCCCTCTTTTCCCCTTCTCTCCCTGGTTTTACTCTTTTTTTTTGTTTTTCTAATTGATATAAATTAATGCTATTTTGGCTTACCTTTGGAGTCTATGAGAAATATGAAGAGTAGACCAACAGCAGTAAGAGTGTGTAGTAAGAAGAAGGAAGAGAGAACAAGAAAAAAAAAGTATATATAAAAAAGAGGTCTTGGTCGGTAGGTTTGGTAGTGATGAAAAGGCCTAGTATAATAAACTCAATAAAATAATTTTAACAAAAAAAAATAAATTCAAGTCATGGTCCCGACCAGTTCACAGGACATTTTCTGATGTCATTGTAACCATTTGTATTAGGCCTTTCGGTCCGTACGTCATTTTTTTTTCTTTTTTTTTCTTCCCCTTTTCTCTTTATATCCCCTTTTCCCTCTCATTTTGCCCACTCACTACGCCTTCAAAATTACAATTTGTATGTTTCTTTCTCTCCCCCCATTTTTTTTACCTTCTTTAATAATTATAATTATAAGCATAGCCATAGCCATAGTCATAGTAATATTGTCTCTATCAAAATATCTCTCTTTATCTCTTTCACTTTTTCTTACTGCCTTGATCAGATCTGTATTTCCATATATGGAAGGCACCTTTAATACAATAAATATCTTATAATCAATGCACACACACACGTATACAAACACATATCCATATATATATATATAAACATAGGTATCATTATTTTTTACAAGTATATGCTTATAAATGTGCCTGTATGTGTATGTGTTTGTTTGTCATTTATCAATTACGATAGCAATCGTTCAATAAGTGAAGACTTTTACCATAGTGATACTGACTGACTAACTAATTGATCCACTCGGTTTCTTTTTTTTTTTTTGATTGTCGATCTCAACATCCTTTTTTTTTGTAATACAATCGCCTATTTAATTACTTATTTTGTTTCGCAATAAAAGGCAATTTGCGTTTGCTGGGAAATATAAACTGTTCTGGGCTTTAAATAATTGCACATTATTACGTCACTATAATTTGCTTATTTTGGATATTCTGGGTAACTTTCAACTTTATGTTGTTGTGTTCTTGATCAGGTCAAGTACAAGTCAAATCAAGTGTCACCAGGTGAAACTCACTGTCTTTTTTTATATTTAAAGGAAAGAAAGAAAAAAAGGCAGAGAGTTGGTGAAGTAACAGCTATAAAATTATTGATCCATTAAAAAAGCTCTCAGAAATAATAATAAATATAAAGGCTTCAGGACAAATCAAATATTTGATTTTTTTTGGGAGGGGGTTTCACAGAGCAGTCTGCTGGTCTATGCTCTTATCGTAGAGTCAAAATCAACTCTCATAATCGGTCCCTCACTCACTCACTCACTCACTCACTCACTCACTCACTCATTCATTCATTCACTCTCCCGGCTACCTCTGGTATGCAGATTTTGAGTGTCGACGCTTGGCCAACCTATCAGCACCAGGAGAAATATGTTCTTTTTTGGACATCTCCTCGACTGTTTTCTAGTCACTAAATGGCTAACTCTCCTGGTCAATAGCGCCCTGCATAAGAATAAAAATAATATGTGGTCAAACAGCATAATACATACAATTTACGCTGTTCTCTAACTTGCTTCAACATCTTATAAATCAACTATTCTTCTTCCATGTCATAGTGGTACACAGCCTGGATAACATTACTTCCAAGGTCTGCTTCTCATAAACTTGTAGAGTCTATAGCAGGAATCCTATCAATTAGCCCGATATTAACAATAGTTATCAGCATCTTAAAAAAAAGACCAAAAGAAGAAGAATAATCACACAAACAAACAAACAAATAAGGCTGCGTTGTACGGGATCTAAACAAGGCAAAATAAGTATAAAAGAAACAAAATGAAAAACAACAATAAGATTAGTATAGAGGGATTCATATTTATCTGCCCTTTTCATATGCAAGTCGTTGGTTTGTGTAGGACGCCATGTATACTTTCAAAATCACTAATCTAAATTTGTATGTTTCCTACATCTCTGTTTCTTTAAGCATAAATTTAAAGCAAATGTCATTGATCAAATATTACTTTTTAGGAAATTTACACAACATATGTCAATAATATTTTAAATAATACATGTATAATATATACATATGTAATGCGTGCAATTTCTGCCTCGAGAATTTGTTGTACACAGACATCTAGACAGGCACACCCAAAAGTGTTCTTTCTTTCGTAGTCAAGAACGCAAAGCTTTGTTTCTTATTATTCGCCACAAATCAATCTTCCTCCTGCTTTTCTATACATCGATCTTTACTCCCCCCTTCTTTATTATTATCATTATTAATATTGTTTGTGTTGGTGCTGGTGATATTCCTACTCGTTGCTATGGTTATATAATGTAGTTTTCTTGGTTTCTTTCAATTTCTTGTGTGTAGGGTAATTCAGAAAGTTATAACAGAGAGAAGATAAGAAGGAAGAAAAAAGAAGAAAAGGAAAAAGGTCGACTCCTCCAACTTGCTTTATTATTATTGTTTTTTCTTTCTTTCCTTCACTCCTTTCTTTCTTTCTTCTTTCTTTCTTCTTTCTTCTTTCTTTCTTTATTCTTCCTTTGTATTAATACTACTTCATTATCAAATCTCCTTCTTATATTCTCCTCTTACTCGTACTCGTACTCGTACTCCTCCTACTCCTCCTTATCCTCCTTTCTGCTGGCTCCTTCTCTCCCCCCCCTTTTTTTTGGTTTTTTAGAAATTAAGGTCTAGTGTAGAGAAATCAGTGTCTCCGAGTTCAAGTTCTATTGCCTTTAGCAATGCATCATCGTCTTCATCAATCAAGGTCTTCGATCGTTCTGCAGAACGTGGAACTGGAGTCTTTGGTGGAGATACAAGTCCGATTGTGCTAGCAGTTGCCACTGGAGTTGCAATCTTGGTTCTGCCGATGTCCCGGGTACGAGGACGGAGCAATTGACTGAGTTGGTTGTCATCAACGGCCCGTGTCACATCTTCCAATTGCTACAAAAGATTAAATAGAAATTAAATAAATAGATTCATATAAATTGGTTTCTTTCTATCTATCTCTTTCTTTCTTTTGAGCGAGTATTTTTTTTAGAATAATAAAAATGCATATATGTTACCCCACGATAGTCGCCTCCTACAAACACTTGGGGTAAAGGCTTGACTCTTCCACCAACAACACTGCTCTGGCGTCTCATGTGTTGCAGGGCTTGTTCACTCTGAGCAACGTCCATGACTTCGTATTGAATATGATTGGACGTCAGCATAGTCTGGAGTACTTCCTGATTACGCTTGATTGTGCTGTTGGTCGATACGCTCGATACATAGACCTGCACTAACGCAGGGTCGCGTGGAGTCAAGTTCAACGGAACTTCTTTCTGGAGCATTCCAGGCCACTTTAGTTTACTGGTCACCACGGGCTTGCGCACCGGTTCATCTCTCTCTCTTTCATTAGATTTCTCATTTGATCTACTGTCGTTTAGTTTGGAGTTGTGATGGTGGCTATGACTATGACTGTGGCTGGAGTTCGTGTTAGCGTTGGGTACATCCAAGAGATCTCTTAGTTCGGCTTGCTGGTCCTGTTTGAGACTAGAAACCTGCTCCTGGTGAGACTTCTGGAGGTGGGCAAGTTGGACCGAGTGGTTGTGCTCCGATTGCTCAAACTCCTGTAGCAGCTTTTCGACTTCGTCATTCATGTTGTTCTTTGCATGTTTCTCGGTGCTACTGAGCCGCTCACGAAGCTGAGCCAAGTCAGTGGCATGTCGTTTCTCGAGTGAGGCAATTGTATTCTTTTGTTCCCGCTCGAGAGAGTTGATTGCATGGCTGTGCGAAGTCTTGATTTCCTGAAGTGTCTTTTGGTGCTGGACCAACACTCGGTCCTTTTCAGCCATGGCTTCTGCATGAACCTGTAGAATAGCCTCGTGTTTTTGTTTTTGTGCCTATTTTTTTTAATAGGGGAAAAGAAAGTTGACATTGTCAACAACAAGATTAAATATTAAATTATTTAGAATTTGATTTGAACAGTGCAAAGCAAACAGTATATATATAAATTTACCTCTAGTTGATGATTGAGCTCATCTAGCTTTTGAATCAACATTCGATCACTTTCAAGATCCATCGTCAGTCGGTTGACTCTCTTTTGTCGTTCTTGATCCTGACTGCCTTCTTTTGGCTTACGGTCTCTTCTATTCAATTGAGCCCTCAATTCGGCCAGTTCGTTTTCTTTTTCTTCGAGACGGCTTACGGCCTCTTCATTCTACCAAAAATAATGAGATTAATTGACGAAATTAAATAGAATCTAGCCTTTTGTACACTAACAAGCTACTACTACTACTACTAGGTTTATATAAATATTATATACTTGCAGTTTTTTTCAATTGGTTCAATTGAAATGTAACTTCTTGTAAGGCAGGTTTGACTAACTCGGCTCGTTCACTCTGCCATTGTTTTTGCCAGTCTTCGAGTTGCCTCTCTTTGTCTCGCAAGAGACTATCCTTTTCGGCCAGCTTTTTTTCCAATAGGCCACTCTTTTGCTCTTCTTCACTTGGACCCTTGTCAAGGTCAGAGTCAGAATCAGAGTCAGAATCAGTGTCCTGGCCTTGGTTATGGTCTTCTTCTTCGATTCTTTCCAATAGAGTTTCAATTTCGGCTTCTTTTTGTTGAAGGATTTGTTCTTTGAGTGCCAGTGTATCCATGATCTCCTTGTTGCGTGCCTCGAGATCAGCCAAGACTCGGCTGTTCGCAATTGACTCTGCTGAAGGTTCTGTGATGGTGTTGATACCTATGCCAACACCAACACCAACACCAACGCTGACGCTGGAGCTGTTCTTTCGCTGACTTTCATCCAATTTATGTCGTAGTTGCTCTAACTCGACAGATTGACGTGCAATAACATCGAGGTGCTGACTGTTCTAAAGTGGATAGAAAAAAAAGCAATAAGCAAGCAAACAGATAGAATAAATAAAGTGAAAAGTGAAATGAAATTGAAAATGAAAATAAGGATGAAAATAAAATAAAATAGAATAAAATGCGAATGAGAATGAGAATAAAATGTATGAAGAAAAAGGAAATACAAGACAAGTGTATGGTAGGATATGTGTGAGCTCCTTATTTTACATTAGTCCTCCCTTTCATTCCCTTTCGTTCCCCTTCTTATCTCTTTTTCTCATCTTCTTTCTTTCTTCCTTTACTATCGTTATTGTTCTATCTTTCTAATTTGCCTTTTTTCCTCCTCTTCTTCTTCTCCTTTCCCCAAGTCATCCCTTGTCTGTTTGCTTGCTTGCTTGTTGTTTTGCTCTACAATCTTTAAATGATGCCTTCTTGTTTTTTAAATAATAAAAATGGTCTAATTATTCTACATAAATATTTCTTTGTGAATGTGAATGTGAAATTTCTAACCTTTGATTTTAATGCGTTATACTCTTGTCTGATTTGTGAGACGGCCGTACGAGAACTAGCTACACTGGCAGGTCTACATGCTCCCATTGAACGGGCCAAGGTATCTGATGATTTCTCTCCACTTAGCTTTGAAGCAGCCTTTTTACGACTACCAAGACAAAGCATTTTAATTCAATTCCTTTGAAGAAATAAAAAAAAGAAAAGAAAGAAGAAGAAAGAAGAAGAGAAAGGAAGGGAAAGGAATGGAAAGGTAAATATAGAAACCAGTGATGGAAAGAAAACCTCAAAAAAAAACTACAGACAAAAATAATAAGAAGAAGAAAAAAGAAAGACAAGAGCAAGTCTAATCAGGACACTTGCCTTTATTACCTTTTTCTCTTTCTATTTCTTTTATTAGCTGTTTCTATTGCTGTTGCTGCTGTTGCTGCTGTTGCTGCTGTTGCTGCTGTTGCTGTTGCTCTTCAAAAGGGATATACGGAGTAGCGCACGTGCATTGATATATAGTCCCCCTCCCACCCCTCTTTTATAGATAGATATATATATATATATAACTCTGTATTGTTGGCCTCAAGTTATTAAGCAATTAAGCAAGAAAGCAAGTAGAATGAGTTTGGTTCAATGGAGTTGATTTGGATAGTCAAGTAATAAAATGTGTGTATTAGTTTATTGGTGTTTCCTTTGCCTATCTTTATTATCAAATATCTAATTCTCCTTGTTGAAGCTGTATGTATTTGATAAAAACCAAAGCGTGTGTCTTTTTGACTATTGTAGAATGGGATTTTACAAGACACACGGACATGATGGCGGACATAAATTAGATAGCGCCAAGCACAATAGTAATAATAATACTACTATCACAAACACTTAAACCAATACTAACATTAGTACCAAATACCAATATTCATGTTAATATTAATAATTATTATCATTTTGATACATTTTATAGATCATCATCTTACCTGTAGCAGTGCCATAATGATTGAGGGGCGCTGTCTTTCCTTCTTCTTTTCTATCGATAATCATCTATTGTTCCTATAAAAACACACATACACATTGATAAACAGTATGTCTGGGTACCCCCTCCTTCGTATATACATATATATTCATTTGTTCACGACCTTGATTAAACCACGTTTAATTTCTGCCGTCTTCACACATATTACAGCTATTTATTTTTACATGTCTATATCCATACTTCTTTATAGGATAAAATAAAGAACATTAGTTTCAAACAACATATATAATGTGGGTTAGACTAACTAGGTGCAAAATTGGTGGTTGAGCCTATTGAGCTTTTTAGAATAAGGAACAAAAGAAAAAGAAGACAAATAAGCTACAAAGATGTATGTACTGTGGGTAGAATGGGCATAATTGTCATTACACTCTTGCTCGAATGCTCCTTGATAAGAACTATTAAAGAACTACAAACAACATAAAATATATATGTCTATCTGTCTATCCATAGTTTCATCATTGATTAACGTTATTATTATTATTATTTTTTGCCGTTGCTCCCTTCTATTAACTCACCCCACCCCTTCCCCTCTCTCCCCTTCTTACACCCCTTCTTCTATCTCCTCTCCTCTCCTATCCTATCCTACCCTTTCTTTTCCTTGCTTCCTTGCTTCCTTGCTTTCTTGCTTCCTTGCTTGCTTCATCGACCAAGCAACCAAGCGATGTGTCTACACCTCCCCTTTTACTTTATTTTATTATATTTTTGGTTGCTATAATAAATAGAGAGACACAATGATGTAGCACAAGTAGCATTTCTTGTTACTTTCTGGTATCCTGCAGCAAATGGGGTTCATAGTTCCACATTCCTTACAGTCTATTTTGTTTTGTTTTTTATATATATATATATTCTTTTCTGTCGTTGTTGTACACCGCTCTATGTTGTTGGCCTTTGTGCACCAGGCTTAAAACCAAATATATATATATATATATATATCATCTCAAAAGGGCAAACAAGAAAAAAAAAGGTTGGTTTGATTAATTGTAGATTTTAGTTAGATTATTATATGTATGATGCTTCTGTTAGTGCTGTTTCTATTTTATATCATTATGATTATTATATCATTGAATGATCGCACAAATGATCAATGATACCAGGCAATAATAAAAGTACAAATTATTGATAAACTCAAAAGACCAACCAACCAACCAACCAAAAGAAAAGAAAAGAAAAGAAAAGAAAAAAAAAAGGGACCCCGTGAAACACAAATGTGACGCGATTACTCTAAAGTGGCGGACTTACAAGTGAACCGGCTGAACGGACTATAGAAGAAGAGAACAGAAGAGAGATGAATGAATATATAAGAATAAGAATAAGCGCGGGGAAATATATGTATATAGATAGAAAGATAGAAAGATAAAAAGAAGCACAGAAACACAGACACAGACACAGACACGGACACGGACATGGACACGGATACATATTTTCCTTTATATAAATATATATTTTTCTGCTCGCTTTCATATTCTTCTGTAATTGTACATGTATATAGTGTATTGTTATTTACAAATATGTACACACTCACTCACCCACACCCACATGTGTATATTATACTATATTAAATATGTATTTTAAAAATAAAAAATTCATTACTATTATATATTTTGGCTGCCAAGCCTTTTTAGCCTTTTTGTCTATATTAGACTGGACTTCTTTGCTTTCTCTTCTTCTTCCTCCTCCTTCTTCTTCTTTAGCTTGTACCACATATACACAAACCAAAAATAAATAAATAATACATATAAAAAAAAATGAAGTACGGGTTCCCCACAGAAGGCTATTTCTATATCAAATCCCTCAACAGCGACAATGTCCTTGACGTGTTTATGGGCGAGTTGACTGTAAGTAAACTGATGCATAAAGATATCATGATTTGAATAAAGGTTTGCTTATCCAAACAAATAAACAAATAATACAACAAACTATTGCCACTTATTAGTCCGATTCTGCAGTGATTGTCTGGCCTCAGGTAGAGCTTTACAAATATACTATAATATGATAAACATAACTCAATTTTGTTTTTTGGTTTTTTTCTTAAAAAAAATACTATAGAAAGGAGGAGACGATAACCAAAACCAGGTAATTTAAGGGTATTTAGCAGTAAAATAAGCCTTTGTGTTCCTGAAAGCACAAACACAGGCACAGGCCCACAGCTATGTAGAGAGAAAGAGAGAGAGAGAGAGAAAAGTAAAATAAAAGAAGTAAAAGAAAGAGGTTACTATTATTTGGGTGGTTGGTTGGTTTTCAGATACTTTTATATAATGTATAAAATATAAATATAGAAAAATTTAAACTGGCTTTCAATATTTTGTAGCTATGGAGATTCGATGATGGTTTCTTGACCAACAAAAAGTCAAATTTGGGTAAGTAATACAATACAATATGTGGTGTAGTGTATTCATAGTTTATTTTCTCACTAATAACTCTTTTTCTTTTCTATTACATATACTATATATATATATAATTTTGAACAATTACTGCTTAATAATTTATTGTCTTGGTTACTGATTATTGGTTATCCTTTTATAGTTGTTGACATTAGAGGAGGTACAAGAGAGAAAATAATACGGCTGAATTACTAGCAAAATAGAAAGATATAAACATAGAAAGATAGAGAGGGATAACAAATCGTCATCGATTAATAATGATATTGTATATGTATAAAAAAGGTGACTTGAAGGCAGACACGATGGTTGTTCAATACGAGCGTAAATACACCATGTAAAGTATATGTTCAACAATAAGATTATTATTCGCCCATGAATACGTGTACACATCAATATATAGATATATAGACAATTATTCCCTTTGTATGCTGTACTTTGATTTGTGAACTGATTATTTTACTTTCATTTCTTTCCTGTCTTGTGTTCCTTCATCATCAGGGCACACAACCAAAGATGGGCTTACAGAGATGGGTTCATTTATGTGATTGCTGACCCACGTCTTGTACTTGAAATTAAGGTAGGCGACAGAGCAATAGGCAAATTTATGTATAAATTCAATGCAATTCAAATTAATTTATGTTCTTATTACATTATTTAGGGAGGAAGTGGCAAGGACGGTAATAGAGCCACCTTGGGTCTTCGCCAACCAGAAGATAATGATAACCAGCAATGGGTTATTGAACCTTATCAGGAATAAAGAACAACAACAACAACAGTAGTAGTGGTGGTCGTATCTATAGTAACAGTAACAGTAACAATAAAAATAAAAATAATCATTATCATTATCACTGATATTGTCATCGTCACTATTACTGTCACCATCATTGTCGCCGTCACCATCAAGCCATAAATCCATCATTATTATTATTATTATTATTTATCACTACTAAAAACAATTGTAATAAAATATTCCCGTTTTACACTCTCTGATCATCTGATCACTCTCATCAGATTGTCCCGCTACTCTCCCGCTTCTCTTAATAAAATTAAATTAAATTAAATTAAATTTATACAAAAAGGTTTATTCCCCTCCCCTTACTCACTCACTCACACACACACACACACACATATATATATATACTCTTTCTTAATTATATAATATATATATATAGTCGGTCCAATTTTTATTTTTATTTTATTTTTATATTTTTATATTTTTATTATTATTTACACTCACTTTCATTTTCATTTTCATTTTCATTTCATTACCTAATTTCTTTCTTCATCATCATTTCTTATTCTTACTTTTATACTATCTTTCCTTCTTTTTTTTCATCTCGGGAATGGATCCTCTACAGGAGCACCCACACCACGGCAATCCCGAACAACGGCAAGCGATTGAGGAACTTCGTAATCTATTTGACCTCGATCACAATTGTCTTGTCAATGTCATTCAACACTTTGATAATGAGCTCAGGGCAGGATTAGCAGACGATCGTTCGAGTGACCTGAATATGATTCCAACTTACGTAACCGGTAAAATAATTTTTTTAAAAAAAGTCTATTTGACATACTTCATTACACTTCCATTACATTTAAATTTCTCTTAATATTAATAAATAAATGTATACATATATATATATATATATATATATGTAAAGGATATCCAACTGGAAACGAAAAGGGAACATACCTGGCCCTCGAAATCGCTGGAATGGACATTTACGCTTGTCAAGTAAAGTTAAAAGGCGACAATGGAAAACTGGCCATCAACCAGTACCAATACAAAATTCCCCAAGACCTGACGAGTGGAGACGACTTTACGGTCCTGATCGACTATGTGGTCGAATGTTTTTCGGATTTTCTGACCAGAGTAAATACCCAAGATCTCTTTGTCTACCCAATGGCAGTCTCCTTTGGTTTCGCAATCAGACAGACTGGCCTGGACAGTGGCAAGGTACTCTCGCTAGGCCATGGCATTAGTTATCCAAATGGTGTAGGTGTCGACATTGTGAAATTATTACATGAACGTGTGAGGCTCAAGGGACTACCGGTTCGAATAGTTGCAATAGCAAATGGTAAAAATAATCATAATAATACATAAATATTTTATATATTTGGTATTAACCTGTTCTGTGTTTTTTTTATATATACATATTATTATAGATGCTGTCTGTACTCTCTTGGCACATGCTTATCAACATCCGTGTACACGGATTGGAATAGTACACAGTCTAGGCACCAATTGCGCGTACTACGAACGCACATCAAATGTTACCAAACTACGCGACCAACCCACCACTCGGGACCGGGACGTGATCATCAATACAGAGTGGGGAAATTTTGGATCCTCTCGACGCACCTTACCTTGCACCTGGTTCGACCGCAAACTAGACCGAGAGTCGATCAACCCACAGTTCCACATGTTCGAAAAGATGACGACTGGTATATTTTTGGGTGAGTTGGTACGTGGAATCCTGATCTACCTTGTCGATCGGGATCTGTTGTTCGGAGGAGACTGTTCAGAGACTTTGAATACAACCCACAGCTTCGACACCAGCTATATGTATGTCTGTGAAGGGGATGATTCGGATACTTTGGAAGACACCCGGATCGTGCTGGAAGACATGTTGGATATCTCAAAAACAACTCTGGCCGACCGAGAGATGGTCAGGCGAGTGTGTGAATTAGTGGGTACCAGAGCAGCGATGCTTGTGGGTGCATCGCTAGCAGCAGTTGTCAAACGAATGGTTGATAGTGGAATAGGCATGGGCGAAGAAGAAGAAGGATACGCAATTTGTAAGTTCATTTTTTTTAAATACAATATATGGATATTATTATGAGAAGCAAAGAGAAAGAGAGAGAGAGAGAATAATAATAATGATTCTTTGTGTATGTAATATACTTACATTACCGTTATATGCATTTTTTTTGGATTTGATTAGCAATTAGCGGTAGTATTTATGAAGATTATCCATCATTTCATCCTCGGGTCTGCAAAACTCTCAAAGAACTCCTTCCAGAATCAATTGCTTCTCGACTGTCTGTTGGTATCGTCAAACACTCTCGAATTGTCGGTGTAGCCATTGTAGCCATGATGGCTGAAAAGGCAGCGGCCAATTCACCTTGAAATAATAATATAAAGAGTAACTAAAAAGCAAAAAACAAAAAGAGCTTCAAAAAAGAAAAAACAAGAGAAAATACGGAAAAAGACTAAAGACTAAAGACCAAAAAAATACCAAAAAAAAAACAAGAGAACCAAAGAAGATTTTGCCCATTTTTCTTTCCGACGATCTTAAAAACCTAACCAATATACTTCTTTAACAACAACAACAGCAACAGCAACAGCAACAGCAACAGCAACAGCAGCAACCATTAACCTTCCCTCCCCTTCAAACCTCCTCTCTCTTCTATGTATTTTTTCTTCTTATATTATTAGTTTTTCTTTCTTTCTTTCTGTCTTTCTTCTATTTTACTACCACTGTTATTTACTACTACTACTACTACTACTACTATTATTACTATTACTATTACTATTACTATTACTATTATTATTGTATCTTTCTTTTTCATAACACAGACATCTGTAAATTACGCCATTTCCTTGTATTCTATTTTCCAACCAAAACCAAACAAAAAAAACAAGAATTATATATGTTTATGAAATCTTGGGCAAACCAAAAAATAATAATAATCAAAATCAAAATAAAAAATAATCTATTACTTTGACTATACACTTCTTCAGTAAAGCAATATATATATATTTATATTTATATGTGTATATGGGTATTTGTGTATGTGTACGGATGTATAAATTTATATATTTTTTATATAATTTTGTGTATAGCGCTTTATTTTACTTTACTTATTTTCTCTCTCTTTCTTTCTCTCTCTCTCTCTCTTCCTATTCCCAGGTACTGTTTTGGTGTTACGCCGAGCGGGACGATGTTATATTTATGCACAAAAGTGTGTGGTACGACCCTTGTGTTGCCTTAAAAGGTCAAAGGGAAAAATCACACATTACACACATTACACACACAGAAAGAGAGAGAGAGAGAGATAAATTCAGTTCGTCCGACAGATATACAGAAAAGGAAACATACACACAAGCATAAATAAAGACAAAGACAAAAGCAAAAATAGAGTGGGGAAGGAAGTGAGTGGGTGAGAGAGTGGGTAGAGAGATAGTGTGTGCGTGTGTGTGTGTGTGTGTGTGTGCTGGTGGGAGGGTGGAAGAGGGAGAAAGGGATATAAAGGGAAAGAAAGGGAAAAAGAGTGTATTTTTTTTTCAAGCTCGCCATTTTACCTCATTTACATATTAGAAAGTCTCCTGTTTCTAAGCGATTACCTACATTGTACGTCTAAATTTTAATTTCCCTTCCTCTTCTTCTTCTTATTCTTCTTTATAAAAAAATCATTCGACAAAAACCTTTTAAACTATAATACTAATCATCACACACATATCATAATCATAATCATAATCATAATCATAATCATAATCATAATCATAATCATAAGCATAAGCATAATTATTCATAAAAGTGGGCTGGGTAACAAGTCTTTATATATATATCCTTTTTATTTCATTCTTGCGCTTTATAGCTGTAATAGTAGCAACATCATTAAGCATGGTCTCACAAATATCTTACCTGTCTAAAGATTATGGGTATAAAGAGCTGTATTGTTAAACAAATAAATATATCGGTTGGCACAAAAATCAATTCAAAGTTTGGCTTAGACTAAGTTTTGAAAGTATAAATTATATATATATATATAAGGACTGTAACCTGTGTATCCCACAAATGACAGCAGACATATCCGCCGAGTGTGTACCACACAGCTTTAATGTATATATATATATATTCTTTCGCTCCATGAGATTACTCCCGAAATTGGGGAAAACCTTAGGATCATTGACGGTCGATTGGTACCGAGCATTATATAGATAATATATATATCTACCACAGACAAGCATAAATAATATCAAAACAAAACTACTCTATTTATCCGTTGATCACCATGGCACAAACCTGATACTTTTGTATTTAGACAATACAATCAAGAAATAATATAGTTACCTGCTTAGAAATCATATTCTGACTACCCTTAAAATCTCATCTCACCTCGTCTCTCTGCGTGTGTGAGTGTAGTATAGTGTGGTATAATAGACATTTCTTTTAACCTTGCTTTACAGACTTATATATATATATATATATCTGTACCTGTTTTCCCATACTTGCTTATTTATTCTTACTGCCTTGTTTAACTGTAAACTGCATACAATATATATATAACCAAAAGGAAATAAATAAAAACAAAAGAAAAAGAAAACAAATCATAATAATACTTATGACTGAAATGGTAAATCAAAACCGAAAAAGATCAACACTGTTGCTTAAAAGTAATTTTGTTCTTGAACCAATTTCTTTCTCACACTCTAAATTTTATTTTTATTTTTATTCACAAAATACAATTTATAATACATAGAAAATAAAAATACACACACACAGGATTTGATATCATAATGCAAGTTAATTTGGACAATTAAGCTTGGCATTTCTTTTTCTTTATTACACATATTTAAAGTCAAAAAATTGACAAAAACAAAATCATCAATTGAAACTATATCGCATGTGACCATACGCATATAAGAAAGCAACTTATTCTAGTTGCTTTAGATATAGTGTCTGCCATATATTCCCCCCACACAAATACACAAATATTGCTTAAAACTATTGTACATATACGGAACACATAAGTAGTTTATACATTTATCCCCCTTTTTTTGGAAATAAAATCAAAGTCTATATGTGTTTGCCTGTGGTTACTGTTACCAATAAATAATAAATCCAATTTTTGTGTGACAATAATATCAGATTCTGAGGGATTTTTTGATATATTATAAGTCATGATAACTATTAACTATTTTCATAAATATTTTCAATATTCGAAATCAATATACATATAAAAAAAAATACTGGTATTATCGCTAGTATCAATCAATCAATCAGTAAATTAAAATTAAAAATAAATAAGAGTTTGAAGAGATGAAAGCGTTTTTTTTCTACGTGAAATACAGATTTTGTTTAAGTATTACTTCAATTGTTGATAGGCTACATAACCTCCACAGTCTTAATTGTATACCTCAAAGAAGCACCAATACTTACTATAGGATCGGAATATATTTGCTAATTAATAAGCTCTGCTCATATATAGAGCGATATTGCCCATGAGCAAACTCAATATATAGTAAAGTCCTCAGAAGCTCCCCCTCTAAGTATAATTTGAGCCAGTTACACCCAAGATGGAATATTGAGTATAATCTTAAATATATAATAACACCCTTTGTTTTAAAGTATCCTCAATACATATATATCCTATACCACTTTGAAGGACTTTACAAATATAATAAACATAAAACCATATCAAACTCCTGGTATATATTAGTAAATAGTAACCTCGTGTATAATTATAAGTTACTTACAAAGCTTTTTAAGAAAATGTTCAATTAATCTTCTTTTAGTGCAATCTTTTGTAAGTATCCCCGAAATGAGATGATTTTTAAACAGGTTAAAACACTTGTAAACCACTTTTATTAAATAACTCAAAAATTACAGTATTTCCTAAGGTCTACAATAGTTTTCTATATCAATCTAGAATAACTATTTGCCTTTTCTTGAGAGAAATTTGTCTCGCAGAATCTTTATAGCTAGGCTAAAATTATATAAGTTTTTGTTGAAGCGTGTGTCTAAAGAGGTATCAAAACATCATAATAATAACATTTAAATTGGATAAAATTTGTTTGTTTGTTTGGAAATGTCATCTGTAAAACAATTGCATTACAATTAAACAAAAGATAATTTGTTATTGGTAAAAACCAATAGTTTATTGTTCATGTAAAATGTATACTTTATCATCTTTAAATCTAGAAAGAGTGAATAAAATCTGAAACTACTTTAATCCAAAATGCCACGCCTTTGAAATTATACTAAAAACTTCATTTTGAGTATAGCTAAAGTGAGAAAAGCAAAATACTCGATAGTTGCTAAGGACTTAGCTATAAAAGAGTCTGGCCAAAATATTTGGCTTACTCAAAACCAATGTCGATTTGTTTATGAACAGAGTTGATGCGGTGGCAATTATATAAATTCTCTAAAACAAGCTCTGGCACTTTATCAAAATATGTAACTATGGATACACTTTTAATGCGACCTAAAAATAAAAGCAGAACAATACTCTAAAATCATCTATAACTTGTATTTAAGAACTGTAATATAAAAACGACCTGTGCATATTTGGCGAGCTATTCTGATACAGGATATTGAAAGATGTATTTTGCAACTGTCAATACTTATTTACACTTTTTTGATTTCAAATTATCTTTTGCACCGTGAATATGATTGTGCCTGTATGTATGTATGTATATTCAATAGCGAACGGAGAGTATCAAGTAGTCACTGATGTTCAACGTACGAAAATGCTCGTAGATAATGATTCTTGTTCCATAAATACATTCAAATTGACTTATCTGTGCACAGTCTGTGTAAACACAATGAGGACTTTACTTGAGTATTTAATCTAGATGCCTTCTTTTCTATTTCTCTTCGTTTTTTTTTGTTTTCTCTCTCTTTCTCTCTTTTTCTTTCTCTCATTCCATTGCATCCTCTTTAAAATCTCCATCGGATTAGCCAAATTCAATACTATACAATTCACGGCATCAGCATCATCAAACATTATTATGCAATTTATATACTTTATAAACAAAAACAGCATCTACAGTTAAACACCGTTAAAAGTCCCACGTTATAATATACAAATATTATTTTATTTCTTTTTAGATTTATTCAATTAGATTAAATTTTTCTTATAAATAAGCTTTCCTAATTACAACATTGAGCTCTTCAATCAAGTAAAAAAAAAAAGTTTAAAAGCGTGTTTTTTTTTATTGGAGACGATACTAGTTAAAAAAAGACTTTATTTATTTATTTAAAGATACACGTAAAGAAACTATTCTATTTGATTGAATTTCACTTAATGTTCTTTTACATGAGTAAAAGAATAAAAAGCATGACACCAAGTTCTTTGTCCCCGCATTACGCGGCTCAATCTCCTTCAGGACGTAAACCTGAC